ATAATTGTTTTAATAATGATTAATATTTAATTTTTCTTTCTAGGGAAGAAGAATTGTACCCAATTTTACATGGGTCAACCCAACCTAACCCCAAATGTTCTAGTAAGTATTTTGGTATTTAGTCCGTAGTCTCTAACATCAATATATATTGCTAGTATATACTTCCTATATATTGAGAAAGAAACCAAACTTACTTGGTGGAGAACTCATCTTATGATTTGAAACCTCTACTCTCAAGCCATAAAATGTATAGAGTAATTAATAATTGTTGTAAAATGGTGTATCAATTACATACTACTAAAAGTGAATTTAAGGGGACACTTAACAATGTATTTATTAAATAATTTTCCGCCAAAAATTTTTTTTCTAAAAAAAATCATCGTTATATTGAAATAAAGTTTGTATCTAGATTATGACTTTTATTTTATATAAAATCTATAGTAAACTTGCTAAAATACCAACTTGCACATTATAAGTATACCATATTTAAATTTTTTTCTCACATGTTTTTATCGTTTTAATATATTTCATGCGTTTTAATATCGGGTGAATCAATTCATTATGTTTTATATAATTAGATTGTTTTTATAATTATTCAACATCCGTGCATTGCACGGGGTTTAATCTAATAATTTATATAAAGATGTACGATTGAGATTTAAAAATTGTAATAGCTACATAATTTAGGTAACTGTTATGATTAACACCTATGACATTAGGATTGCAACACATCACGTATGCACTCCATTCATATTTACCTAATTAATTTTTGTTCGTATGATAACTATAATAAGTCTCAAGTCTGTATAAACCCCACCAAAAGTAACGATGTCCCAATCTCTTGAAGATAAAAATAAAGTTTTCTTCTCCAATTATAATAGCCAGCATAGCATTAACACACAATAGTCATGGTCTTAATAATTGGCAGATTTCACACTAATAATTGCAATTAGTTGTAATAAATAGCTTTTGCTCATTAATTTTTTTTTTTAAAAAAAAAATGAAAAGAAAAGAAAAATTTGACTTTGAAAATGTTGTAAATAAGTTTTGAGTGTAAAACACAAGCCCAACCTTCCCATATCATAGTCAACATTGAATCCCCAGGAAAAAGACAGAGTATGCGGTAGTTATCTCCTTCATCACATGGATAAATAAGTACATTATATAGATTATCTCGTCACCCTTGTGCATCAAACATTCATTCACCCATACAAAATATCAAAGTTTGCTTAAATCACATTGGAGTTTCAGACTTTCAGTAGTAAAATAAAAACAGAAGCTTAGCAGCTGCAATGGCGGTCAGAGGAGCTGCAGTGACACCAAAGTCAGTTCTGCCAACGAATCTAACGCTTTCTTTCAGAAACAAAACTCACTCGAAGCAGGTTTGCTATTACTATTGTATTTTTACTACACCTTAAACTTGATTTTATTCTGTTCATGATCATATTGTACATATAAGTGATTTCCTATAAGCTTTTACAGCAGCAACAATATAAGTGTTGTCATTGCACTGAAAAGAGGGGTACTGTATCAGAAATGTGATGATTAAATTGACATACAAGTTGCATATAACAAATGATGGTGTTATTTTTGCAGATTTCTGTGAAAGTTTCGGCTAGCAGCTCAGACAAGAATGATCAAAGTAGTAACTCTAGTAAGTCAATAAGAAAAGAAGGAAATGGCTGGAAAATCGACTTCACCGGAGAAAAACCGCCCACCCCATTGTTGAACACTATCAATTATCCTTTGCACATGAAAAACCTATCTACTCAGGTAAGACAAATATTCTAGTTTCTGGCTTTCTGCTGTTATTGATTCTCACCGCTTCCTGTAACCGACAGGATCACTGAAAACAATGCAGATAGCTAGAGATGCATAATTTTATTTGTTAGTAGCTTATTTTATGCGATGAGCATGAAATCAGGCCCCTAAAAAAATATGTCCCCCTCCTCCCTTTGCTAATGAAACGCTTGTTGTTCAGGATCTTGAACAACTTGGTGCGGAGATAAGAGCTGAACTTGTGTACTCAGTGGCAAAGACAGGCGGGCACCTTAGTTCTAGCTTAGGGGTGGTGGATTTAACAGTAGCTCTACATCATGTATTCAACACGCCTGAAGACAAGATTATATGGGATGTTGGTCATCAGGTGAGAATTTTGGAACATATTGATTTGCTTTCAAACAATTTTGGAAAAAATTCAACTGAAGTTCATTTTCCAATAAAAATCAGGTTTCGAAATTCATTTTCATTTGTTTGTTGCATTACTAAAAAGTCAAAGAGAATTGGGTAATGGGAAATGGGAAATGAGGATAGGTTAAGAAAGGTTAGGCTTGGGAAACTATTTTGCATTTCACAATCTTATAAAATCATTTTACCCCTTCAATACCAAATGTTGATTTTCTAGGACAATGATTTCCTAGGAGAGGTTGAGAAAGGTTAGGATTAGGGAAACCACTTTTTAGGACAATGATTTTCTTGATTTCTTCCCATCCAAACACGGCCTGAAGTTATACAGCAGGAAAGTCAAGTTGCTTGACGATAGACAATCTATCTTTCCTCAATAAAGGCAAAGTTGACAACACAAACTGTAATGAAAATTGCAGGCATACGCACATAAAATTCTGACAGGAAGAAGATCTAAGATGAACACAATAAGGAAGACCTCAGGAATTGCAGGGTTTCCTAAAAGAGAAGAGAGTATCTATGATGCTTTTGGTGCAGGGCATAGTTCTACTAGCATATCTGCTGGTCTTGGTATGGTATTCTCATATTAGAGCACTGCAGTTTATCAGAAATACAAAGCATGTCACTTTACTGAAGAAATTATACAAATTTGCAGGTATGGCAGTTGCAAGAGATCTTTTACGGAAAAAAAATAATGTTATCTCAGTGATTGGGGATGGAGCAATGACTGCAGGACAGGCATATGAGGCTTTAAATAATGCAGGGTTCCTTGACACTAACCTGATTGTCATATTGAATGACAATAAGCAGGTTTCGTTGCCCACCGCAACACTTGATGGCCCTGCAACTCCTGTCGGGGCACTCAGTAGAACACTAGCAAAGCTTCAAGCATCTCCAAATTTCCGGAAATTACGTGAAGCAGCCAAGGTAGACATAAAACCCAGTAATAGCTTCAATGAGTTATCATTTTTCTTCATTTGTAGAAGCTGATATCTGACTTGTATTCCTCTATTGTTAAGGGCATAACAAAGCAAATTGGAGGGAAAACACACATGGTTGCGTCAAAAGTTGATGAATATGCAAGAGGCATGATTAGTAGTGCAGGATCAACTCTCTTTGAGGAACTTGGTTTATACTACATCGGACCAGTGGACGGGCATAGCATGGTAGACCTAGTCACCATATTGAAGCAAGTCAAGGAAGTTCCAGCACCAGTACCAGTTCTAATTCACGTAGTGACTGAGAAAGGAAAGGGGTATCCACCAGCAGAAGGAGCATCTGATAAAATGCATGGTGAGACTGCAAACTGAAACTATATCTCCTCTCACATGATAAAAAAGTGAACTTACATATGATTAACTGGACCGAATTTCCGTTTCTCTTACAATCAATCTTTTTAGGAGTTGTAAAATTTGATCCCAGATCAGGGGAGCAATTCAAGTCCAAATCCCCTACACAGTCATATACGCGGTACTTTGCCGAGTCATTGATAAAAGAAGCTGAAGGAGATGAGAAGATTGTGGCTGTTCATGCTGCAATGGGTGGAGGAACAGGTCTAAATTATTTCCAAAAGAGATTTCCAGATCGCTGCTTTGACGTGGGTATAGCAGAACAACATGCAGTAACATTTGCAGCAGGTTTGGCTACCGAGGGCCTCAAGCCTTTTTGCACCATCTACTCATCATTTCTACAGAGAGGATATGATCAGGTGAAACATCATATTGATCAAATATAAAACCCTTACTTTCACAGTTCCCCTGCTAATGGCTTGTCGCATATATGCAGGTAATACATGACGTAGATCTTCAGAAACTTCCAGTCAGATTCGCAATGGATAGAGCAGGTTTAGTGGGTGGAGATGGACCAACCCATTGTGGTGCATTCGATGTCACCTACATGGCCTGTTTGCCTAATATGGTTGTCATGGCTCCATCAGATGAAGCAGAGCTGATGCACATGGTTGCAACTGCAGCAGCTATTGATGACAGACCAAGTTGTTTCAGGTACCCGAGGGGAAATGGAATAGGAGTTGCCCTTCCTCTTGGAAATAAAGGAACACCACTTGAGGTTAGCACCAAAAACAACCACCTCGAAATTTAGTGAGAGCAAAAATATATGTACGGAATTAGTTCATCCAGAAAATTATACTTCGTATGTACTTAAGCACTACTAATATTTGCATCTACGTTCGATACTTGAACAGGTTGGAAAGGGAAGAATATTGAAAGAGGGGTGCAGGGTAGCATTGCTGGGATATGGATCTATTGTGCAAAAGTGCCTAGAAGCCTCAGTTTTGCTAAAATTTTGGGACATCTCAGTGACAGTAGCTGATGCAAGGTTCTGCAAACCTCTTGATGGTGATCTTATTAAACATCTAGCAAATGAACATGAAATACTCATAGTTGTTGAAGAGGGTTCTATAGGAGGTTTTTCATCTCATGTGTCGCACTTCCTCGGTCTGAATGGTATTTTGGATGGATCTCTTAAGGTGACTTTACAGGAAAAATATGAAAATTGAATTCCTCTGCCATGCCTTCTTTATTATTTTTTTTCCTATGCTTTACACTCACCCCATCTCATTCTACACAGCTAAGAGCGATCATCCTTCCTGATAGATACATTGACCATGGAGACTACGAAGATCAGTTGGAAGAAGCAGGATTGACTTCAAAACATATAGCTGCAACCGTGCTGTCAATGTTGGGAAAGCAAAAGGAAGCTCTTACACTTTAGGTTCAGAAAATAGGTGCGCAGAAATAAGTTGCCATCACATGTAAATCTATATATCTTAGAAGATTCGGTTATGGAATACCTACCTTGAGAATATTGTGGCCAATTTTGATTGTTTACCACGTTTGCCTTTGCCGATGTGCCCTTGTAGCATAAACAAGACATGTATTGTATTGATTACCCACACAGACACTACAAGAGATTAAAAAAAACAAAAAGTCAAAGAATAATCATGTGTCATAAAAATTATGATTATGAAATATTGAAACTATAAGTACTCCATAGAATTTCCCAGCAAGGCAAAATGATGATACTCCTGGAAAAGTAGCACAAAAATGACATAATTTAGTCTTCAGTAGTCTTCAACTGTAGGATTTTAAAAGCTATAAGAGGTGTGACTGTCTCATCTTGGTGCTAGGATTGGCTTAGGGTAATGCCCAGTGAAGGGAGAGGGCAGGGATCATGGTCGCACATTAAATATAACATCCAACCAAGAGATTGGCATGCGAAGAAATATAAGGTCAGATTTTATATGTATATCCATCTGATATTACATTCCCTTCTGATTTTCACCTCATCTATCTACGATAATTGCATTGGGAAAGTTACGTTAGTCAATTAAGTGACAGAACGAAAAGAGTTTGGGACCCAAAGTGGGATAAAGGTTAACTACCTGTTTGGAATTGAAACTCCAGTTCCTCACTATCCTTTTAAACAGAAATCAAACATGAACACAATAATTCTCCATTCTTGCTCCCCTGAAAATATAAGTAGGTTGACAGGCTAATTTCAAAAGCCCTCTAAGGTCACTAGTTGAGAACAGAAAAGCCACACATAGTCAGTAATGACACTTAAAAGTACACTAAAAAAATTAATACAGCATAGAGGGACCATAATATAGAGAACTGCATACCATACCTCTTTATTTGGAGCCCTTTCCCAAAAACATATAATGGTTAACTGAACTTCATGCAGCACCACAAGACCTAGCTAGGGTAGATCAATTAGCAGTGGGCTGATGTAACAAGGTGTTAAATCAATTTGTGAGACAACATAGCACTTTGCTACCTTCACTTACCAATTTTGTCATGATTAGATCACCAATAATCTTTGCAAGAGCAAACCCCATCCTTAAAATGGTGAAATCTCTTGGTATCTCTGGCAATTATCTCTCTCCCGACTACTTTTGTAACTAACTTTATCCAAGCATGGCAATCCCCACAAACTTTCAAATTTTTGTAAATCCTAATGCAGCTGGTTTTTTCAGAGGTCTTCCATAGGGAAAAGGCTATGGCTAGTTTCTCACTGTGATAGTACAAGGACCGCTCCTTCTCCTTCTCATCCAGGTTCTGTAGCACAAACTCAGTAGCTGGAACATACCCCAACTCCTTAACTTTCTTCATCAGTTCCTTTATTATATAATCTATTTCTTTAAAACTTGGTTCGGAGCAATTCCCTGCCATGAAAATGTAAACCTCTCCGCCTATGATCACCCAGCTCATAGCAGGACTCTTTTTCAGTCTATTCTCCCTGATTAAAGACTTTATGCCAACAACCTGATTCCAGTCACCTTTTGATGCATAAAGATTGGAGGATAGAACTAAGCTTACCTCGTCTTTAGGAGATATCTCGATTACTTTATTTAATATCCTCCCTGCCATGGTAATGTCTCCATGGAGTCTACACGCACTCAGCAGAGTCCTCCACAAAACAATATCTGGGTTATCAGCTTGATTTATTAGTGCTTCTGCCTCCTGAAGTCTTCCAGCACGTCCATAAATATCTACCATGCAAGCATAGTGTTCTTTAGTTATCTGAATATTATGATAGCCAAAAAAAGAGTCAAAGATGTGACGGCCTTCATCAACCAGCCCTGCATTGTCGCATGCTAACAGAACACTAACGAGGGTTACGTCATTGGGTTCAAGCCCCAAGTCATTCATTTGCTGAAAAAGCTCAAGTGTTTTGTGTTCAAAACCATTCTGAGCATAAGCATACATCATTGTGTTCACAAGCACCAAATCAAGGTCCAACAAGCCATCATAAACCAGCTTAGCAAGTTCCACACAACCACACCTCCCATAGAAATCAATCAGAGCAGCACCAATAAACTTATTTAAGTGTAAGCCTAATTTTAGTATAATGGTGTGGATTTGTTTCCCTTGATCAAGTGTTGCAAGGTTGGAGCATGCAACAAGAGCCCCAGACATGGTAAAACAGTTTGGAAGTACAGAGCTGCGCATCATTTGACAAAATTTGGATAGGGCAACTTCCTCTCTACCATTCTGCGAAAGACCAACAATAAGGGATGTCCAAGTCACCAAGTTTGGGTTAACAAGATGCTCAAAAACCTTAAGTGCATCATCAACCCTGCCACATTTCGAGTACATAGTCAGAAGTGAAGTCTGCGGAGAAACTCCAAACTCATGACCACATTTGATTATAAACCCATGTATTAACATGCCAAGACATGAATGCTTCAAGTTACCACAACTCACCAATAAGCTCGTAAAAGTGTACTCATTCGCCTTAACTCCTTCCTTAATCATCTGATTAAAAGCCTTCATTGCTTCACAATCTTCCCCATTTTGAACATAGCCAACAACTAAAGTAGTAAACAAGATCACATCTTTCTCCACAACTCGATCCGCTACCAAGTGAGCATTCCTCATTTGACCAAGCTTGGCATACATATCAACAAGGGCACTTCCAACAAACACATTCGAAACCTCCAACCCCAAAACAACCGCTTTCCCATGAGCTTTCTGGCCATCACAAACAAGACCCAGATCAGAAAACGCTTTCAAAACACAGGACAATGTAAAATCATCCGGACAAACTCCCTCAAACGCCATCCGTTTATACAAACCCACGGCTTCAGGACTCCTCTTATGCCTAATATAGCAAGAAATCATGGCATTCCAAGCAACTACATGTCTCTGAGGCAATTCGTCGAACAGTTGGTGTGCATAAACAAGGTTGCCAAGTTTTAAATACGCATTCATGAGCTTATTGCCTAATCTTAGGTAAGGAAAGCCATGATTTCTCATATGGGTATGAATGTTTCTAATTTCTTCTGTAGATTTTGAATTTTGGATGAGAGAGATGTAGTTCTCTGAGACTTGTTTGAGGTTTGTGACATTTGAATGCAATGAAATGCCCAATTGTTTTAGGATTTGAGTAGAAGATGAATTTACTTTTTCGATGATTGGTTTGGTTTTAATTTGATTGAAAGTGTTGGTTTGTAGAGGTCTCACAAATTTCGAAGGTTTTACCCACCATTTCAAACCATTCATGACTTGTTGGGGTGATTTGTTATGACTATTTGGAGCACGAAGAAGCCGGTTTTGTCGAGGTGGGATTTGATAATCAGGAATTGATTTTGGTCGAGTTTTGTGTGCTTGAGAGATAGAAGAATCAATGCAGCATCAGTAATTTCTTTTAGTTCGTCTGGTTTTTCGAAGTGGGGGCTGCGTTTTGATCCATTCTTGTTGGTAAAAACAGGGGATTTTTTAGGAAGTGTATATATAACAGAAAAAACGGTATTGTAAATTATGGAGAGAAAAATTCATCAAATTTTTTGACGAAAACCGCAGCTTAGCACATATTATTAAATCACCAAGTGTTCAATACAATCACATAAAGCCCCCTGAATTTCAGGTGGGTAACTCTTCAAGCCAAACACGATATTCACTAAAATTGAAACTCAACTTTGCTAAGCTATGGGCAACAATATTACCCGACCTTCTAACAAATGAAAAAACACAACTCTGACAGCTACTAGCAAGCAGCAGAATATCCCTCACCAAATTTCCAAAAGAACAAGGAGATATGGAGCCCTTCTTCATATGGTGGAACAACTAAATGTTATCAGTTTCTAGAATGAAATTCCTGAAGCCCGCTTCCATGGCTATCTTAAGGCTTGATCTCATAGCAATCGCTTCACCAACAGCAACATCTACCTTCCCAAGCTCTGTCGAACAGAAGACTACCACAGCAGCCCCCTCCTCATCCCCAAGATCCCACCAATTCCCAGCAAATGACCCTGGAAGGCTGCGTCTGTATTCAGCTTATACAGACCAGCAGCAGGAGCCTTCCAACTTGAACTGAAATGCTGCACTTGCGTCACCACAGCAGCCTTCACATTAGCTTCTTCAAACTCTCCCACCAAGCACATTGTCTTATGAAGAATGTCAGCCTCCCTCTTCTCTTTTTTATCAAAAACCCATACATTACGTTTTAACCAAATTCCCCACGCCAGACACCAAAAAATATCCCACCATTTAGTCTCCTTGATCTTTCCATACATCAGATTGCACCAACCTCGACAGCCATCATAATCAAGAGCACTTGTGTCAAGCCACAGGACAGAATGTCTCCAAATAGAGGAGGCTGCTGGGCAGAAGAGGAGCATATGAGCAGTAGTTTCCTCCCCCTCCCCACACATAGGACATTCATACCCCTAGCCATCAAACGACTCATAACAGGCAGCCCCTCCCTCACACTTCTCCACGCAAATAATTTGATCTTTGGTGGAATACGGGCATGCCAAATACTCTTCCAATTAAAATCTACATGCCCATTTGACGAGGTTGTCTTATCCCTTACCTCTTCTTCGACCATAAGCACTCTTTACGCTGTAAAAACCATCTTTCGAGTGATGCCAAGACCAAACATCTTCCTCATCAAACAGAGGTACTGGAATACTACAAATATTATCATTTTCCCGCTGAGAGAATAACTCAGAGAGAGTAGTCAAATTCCAGCTCTTATTTTCCCATAAATCCTTGACATACATCGGAACATCACTACCATCCCTCTTTGGTGACAGAATTCGGAACTTTGGGAGATTAGGCACCCATGGGTCTTCCCAAATACGGACACTACTTTCCCCACCAATAGTCTTTATAGCACCCTTCTCAATCACCTCTCTAGCACTTAGAATCGATCTCCAAGCAAAGCTCATATTTGGGACAGCTTTAGCATCAAAGAAAGTTGAGGTAGGAAAATATTTACCCTTAAGCACCCGAGACATAAGCGATTCCTTGTTACTCAAAATTCTCCACGCTTGTTTTGCTAACATAGCCTTGTTAAAAATCCTCATATTTCTAAAACCCAATCTTCCCTGATTTTTTGCACGGAGCATCTCATCCCATCCTACCCAACTCATCTTCCGTTCATCTCCTTTTTGCCCCAAAAGAAACTCCTACACAATTTTTCTATCTCGATTAGGATGCCAACGGGAATAGAAAAGCATTGCATAGCATAAGTGGGGATAGCTTGCGCCACTGATTTGATGAGAATTTCCCTACTCGCTTGAGAAAGATAACTACCTTTCCAACCTTTGAGCTTCTTCCAAACTCTATCCTGAATACTCTAAAAAATTTGTTTCTTAGAACTTCCAATGTAAGTCGGAAGGCCTAAGTATTTGCCATGTCCCTCGATAGCCTTAAATGCTAACTTCATGTGAAGCATATTTTTCTTCTCAAGATCAATGTTTCGGCTAAAGGACACCTCTGATTTTTCCATATTCAGTTTCTGGCCCGACGCTACCTCATAGGTCGACAGAATATCAAGCACTTTGTCACTTTCCTCCTCATTAGCTCGTATAAACAACAGACTATCATCGCAAAAAAACAGGTGAGAAATTGGCTCAACATGCCTCCCAATCTTGACTTTATGAATAAGCTTTTTCTTTTCCGCATCCCGAAGAAAGAGCAGATAAACCTTCCGCACAAGGAGATAACGGATCTCCGTGTTGCAACCCCTACTTGGTCTAAAGGCCCGAGACGGCTGCCCATTCACTAGAACATCAAAAGAAGCCGATGAAACACATCTCATAATATTCTTCACATAAGGCTCCAGAAAGCCAAATTTCATCATCATTTTTTCCGGAAAGACCCATTTAACTCTGTCATAGGCTTTACTTATATCCAATTTTAACCCCATATATCCTTTCTTCCCACTTTTTTTTTTTCCGCAAAAAATGAAAGCACTCATAAGCCACCAAAATGTTGTCTGTAATTAGTCTACTAGGAACAAAACCACTCTGAGACTCACTAATAATACATGGCAGAATTTTTTTAAGTCTGTTTGCCAACACCTTCGACACAATTTTATACAGAACATTACACAAACTAATAGGTGTATAGTCAACCGGAGACTCACACTCTTTTTTTTTCAGAATTAAAACAATGTGCGTCTGATTAATAAAACCTATATCACTACCATTGTTCAAAATATTTAGAGTACTTTCTACTACATCACTTCCGACAACATTCCAGAATTTTTGGAAAAAGATAGCAGACATACCATCAGGGTCAGGGGCCTTATTGGGATGCATCTGGAAAAGGGCCGAACTTCCTCACCAACGAAAGGAGCTGCAAGTTCTGCAAACTGAGCTTCTGAAACTACGGAATCCACTTTCTCAATCACAGCATCCGTATCACATTGTCCACCTGATGAAAATAATCATCAAAATGGCGCACAAAAACTTCTGAAATTTTCTCTTCATCTTGAAAAAAGTTACCAGTCGCATCCTTCACTTCTCGTATGTGATTTCTCGATTTTCTTTGACTAGCTTTTGTGTGAAAAAATGTAGTATTTTTATCACCATTTTTAAGCCAATCCTGTCTACTTTGTTGCCTCCAATATGCCTCATCCCTTCTCTCCAACTCATCCATTCTATCATCCAAAGCTCGTATTTGAGCTATGATCTCCTCTGTTTGTGTCTCTCCTATAAGACTCTCCATCGTAGCCCTGCAACCCTTCATTTCTTTCACAAAATCACCAAATTAATTCTACTCTAAGCACTCAAATTTATCGAGGTGTGAGCAATTTTCGAACAAATGTCACCACCCCAATTCCACACATCCTTCACTGTGTCTCCACAAGTTTCATCTCGAAGCCACATTTCTTCAAACCTGTATTTTTTTACTTTTTTTTTCTTTCTTATTTTTCCCACACCTTCGTTAATACATAGCAGAGTGGGCAAGTGGTCCGACTTCCTCTTCGATAAATGCATCACAAACGATCCAGGGAAGAGATCCTTCCATGTTTTGTTTGCTAAGAAACGATCGAGACGCTCCTGCACATTGCGATCACCACCTTGATTGTTAGTCCATGTAAAGTCGTGACCCACAAAACCCAGATCCACTAACTCACAAGACTCCACTGCTTCTCTAAAAATATCAGCCTTTACCATACGAAAGTCATTACCTCCTTGTTTCTCACTCGACATCAGCATCAAATTGAAGTCACCCCAACAAATCCATGGAATGTTCGGGTTACTCCTAATACTTTCTAGCAAAGTGCGAGTCAGGTGCTTTTTCTCAGCTTCCGGATTTTCATATATTCCAGTAAATCTCTAGCCTTGCTTACAAGATTTTTTGACCCATGAGTCAATATGGTGTAAAGAGTACAACTTAATTTCCACCCCTAAAGTATCCTTCCATAACAGAGCTAGCCCTCCACTTCGTTTCCTTCCCTCCCCTTCACAACTAACAGCAAGAAGATTATTAAAATAAAGCTTATTTTTTACTCTTTCCATCTCATGACTTTTTAACCTCAATTCCGACAAACAAATGATTTGGGGTTTTTCAAGAAAAGCCCACATTTTTCACTGCATTTATCGCTGTGGTACTCTCCAAACCTCTACAATTCCACGACAGGACGTAATTCATTGTTCACCGAGAGTCCATAGTGTGAGACCGCCACGTTTTGATTAGAGATTGCAACCTTTCACTTCTAGCTCATAGTATCAATTTCATCTCCATCTACGACCATCTCAAACTCCTCATATACCTCTTCACGTACCCCCTTTTACCACCACTCAACAACTTTCCTTCCCCAACCCCTTGTTGTCACTCTTTATAATATTGACCTTCCTAAGCCCTTTCCCCTTTTCTCCAGCCTTAGTAACACCCTCCTTCTTTTCACCCATCACACTAGTCTTTCTATCTTTCTCTCCAGTCTCACTTGCTATCACATGATCTGCATTAAAGTCATTATGCTCCCTAGTGTCCATCATCATCACTCCCTTTTTACTAATAATGTCATCTAAGCCCTCCCTAGCTTTCCCCTCCTTGCTCCCTCCTGCACTCTCCCCACTTCTCTCCACATTGACCCCTTTTTTTATCTCCCCTTCTCCTCCTGAGCTTAAAATCGAGGGAGCAACCTCACTCTCTTCGCACATCGATGTACCTATTGTTCTCAGCACTAGCTTTTTCCCACTGTTATCCAACACCGCAAGAAGTTCAGCCTCCTTATTCTTCAATAAACCTTCCTTTCTTCAACATCATGAACAGTCAGAGAGGAAAAAGCAAGTTTTCTAGCAGCCCCAACCAATCCCAACTTAATAACATCCGGGTCATTATAGGTAGGAATTTTCTTCGATAATGCTGAACTTTTTAGTCGCTCAACCCAAGTCTTCTCAATTTCACGTTCAGCTATATCAATTCTGAGTTTCTTTTTTGGAGATGCTCGTAGCCACGGCCCATACTGGTACACCATCTTCTCCACATCCCCTTTCGCTTGCTCCTTGAACTGGCATTCTCTCTCTGTGTGTTCAAGTCTACTACAGAAAGAGCAAAAATCTACAAGCCTCTCATACTTAATATCCACCCAACGAGACTTATTTTGCCCCATAGCTAGAAAAAGTCCTCTTCGCAGTGGCTTATTGATATCCACAAGGACTTTGATGCGCAAACTATCTCCCCACTCTAGGGGATCAGAATCATCTGCCTCTAGAAAGCCCCCCAAAAACTCCCCCACATCATACATTACTTCCAGGGATCGTTTATTTAGAGGCACATCTAGTAATCTAACCCACATAGGGGTCTGCTTGAAGACGATTTCAGACGGTTGTTTGTCACCAATTACTTCTTGCAAAAGGTCTCGTCAAAAAACCGTGGTCTACCTTCAAGAACACGTTATCTTCCTCACATAAGAATTGAAAAACGAATAAATTTGTTTCAACTACCCCAATTGCGAATTTCTGTTTCAACCTCCATACATTCGCCAAGGTTCTCTTCATTGCTTCAAGAATGTAGGGTTTCACTGTCCATAGTTTTCCTACCAGAGTGAGATTTATTTTGGCTTTAGTATCATCGCTAACAATTTCTATGTAATCACCCCCTAACACCACACCTTCTTCATCAGTTAAACGCAGTTTTTTCCCAATCCTTCACCAGATCGTCCCCCGTTATTCACACCATAATCAGAATCCAGGGAGTTTGGCCTTTGAAAAATTGAAAATTGATCAAGATTGGTAGCAAAAGGGAGATGCAACGCACAAAACCCCTAACTCGGGACTTACTTTTGATATCTTATTAAATTCATCAAAAATATTACAAATAAACTAACGTGGAATTATCAATTGATAAACCTTGGAAATATCCGATTTTAAAGACGTCCTGTATATTTTTTTATATTTTTTTTGACACACTGTATAATATTTCTTTTAATGCTAAAAAGAAGAATTATTTTTGTCTTCAAAAGAGAAATAAAAATATTTCCTTTTTTTGTTTATGGGATGAAATTTGGGAAACATTACAATTACATAAGTGATATCAGTATTCATATGTGTCTGTTATACATGTTAGATATGTATGTTGAATAATTTAGAGTATGGAGACTAATCTCATGGTTGTTAGATTAATTTGCTTAGGTAATGGTGTAGCAAATTAATTGACAATAGAGTTAAAGCAAAATGATCCCAATGCTGGAAACTGGCTGCTTCGTTGCTCGATCGGGCTGCCGAGTTTGATCGGGCCCGCATGCAGTTAGAGAGGAAAAAACTGCCTGATCGGGCCCGACCTTTTGATGGGTTGACACTGCTAGTTTTTTGGCAGTTACTTTTCTTGATTTGCTTTATGTATAAATATACTTGGGGGGCATTTGGTTAGGAAAATGAAAACGGAGTGTAAATGAAACAAATAAGAGGGGAAAAGGAATTATTTAGCTATTACCTTTTTATTTGTTTGGTTTAATCATTGAAAGGGTATATTTGTTTATAGGAGGGTAAGGGTATTTGTTACCCCAAGTTTTTGAGAGTTAACAAATGAGGGGTTAACCATTACCCTTATGTAATGGTAATTGTTACCATGCCTTCTAACCAAACACATAATAACGATATCATTTTAATCGAATTTGTTTCCAATTCAAAAAATACACCAACCAAACGCCCCCTTTATGTGATGTGATTTGACCGATGAAAAATGAGTGGAACTTCTCCTTTTTCCATTCTCTGATTTGCTTTATACTTCAAGAAATTAGTTTATCTATTTTTCTTGAGAAACCTTTTACATTTCATTTATCATCATCATAAATTATCAAAGTTTGTTTCCATTAGATCACAAATATACTACACACTGTTGTAAAAATTAGGGTCGAAATATTACTTTGGGAAAGTGATTTTGTTCACGCCTTGAAATGTTTAAATTTGTCTGATTTCGTTCCATTTTTTGTGACCCGGTAAACCAATTCCCCAACAAGATACGAGACATGCCTATTTCGAGGACTTTTGTAGTACATTACTTTGGTTTAGGCTAGCTCAAGTCCTAGAGATTGATTTGTACTGTATGAGTTTCAAATTCAAGGAATTTAAGGGTCAAAACTGAATGAGAATATAGGACACATTGTCACATTAGTATCGAGTAGAGATCTGACAAGAAATTTCTCTTTCTTAATATATTTAGATCATGTATCATCCTTACAAACTGTGTTAAAAATAGACAAATTCATCAAACTCTGGCAATATCTACAGATGTCTAGAAAGCTGCAAGAAGGCTCTTCATGATTCTGGGCTCACCAAGCGGCACCTTGTTTTTGAGGGCTCCTTTCCTAGTAGCTCTGAAAGTTAAAGGGCCAGAGTCATTGCTGCCTGTTATTACTTGACAATCAATGTACACTTGAACCTGTGTCTTCCCATCCATCGTCGATTTCCACAAAGCCTAGCCTTACCCCTCCTTTCAATCTTGTCAACCTGTGATAAACATACCATATTAGACAGGTTTTTTTGACAAGAAATTTGAAGAACTAGCTCCTATGCCAGGATATTACACGCTACAGTGTGAAATTTGCACGTGTTTCATGAATGTTTGTAGTTAGTGCATATATCTCACACTCATAGCAGGTGAATGGCACATGCCTGTGAATGCATAACACTCCGCATCAGGGTAAAGGGCTTTCACTTTCTGCTACCAATGACAAGTATTACACCTTCTGTGAAAATGTTGCTTTATGGCCTCAAGTTGTTCATTCTCTGCCAATACTGCCGTGATGGCTAATCAAAAGAAGTTTGCGGTTATCCCTTATGGTATGAATTGAACCAGAGTGTAGTTGACTTAATTGCTGAGATGTCTAGTTTTGGGATTGGAGAACTCACATTTAAGTATTCAGGTGTTCCGGTCAGTGCCAATAAAGTAACTCCGCTAATGATTGTGATCGTATGATCGAGAAGATGATAGCAAGATTCAAGGTATGGAGTTCAAGGGATCTTCCCTCTGCTGGTCGCCTACGGTTAGTGTATTTTGTGCTTATGAGCATCAACTTCTATTGAGGGCCGATCATTATTGTATCTTGAAGAGGATAAAGACAAGGTGACAGTAATAATCCGGGCTCTATTGCCTGGAAGGCTGGAACAGTTTGTTTTGGTTAAGTGTCGTGGTTGGAGTGTAAGTTCAAGACTTTAGTTGAGTTTGACCTTAGTCAATTATCATATTACCCATTACATAAATAATCCTTGAGACTTGGTCTCTAGTCTCTACCACCAGCATCATATCACGTATTGACGTACGCGACTCATGATACACTAGTCTAACACTACGAATAAAAACATGTCAAATGTGCCCGAGAGAAAATAAAAGACCATATTATCCTATGTAAACAAGATTTTTTTTACAGGTAAGGTACACGGGGAGCCCCTCCTATCACAAGAGGGAAGGGATGAGGTTCGAACCCCCGTCACATGCATGGGGGGAGATGGAGGGACTCCTAGATCCTCTCAAAGGATATACCATTATGTAAAATATAATGAGAGGTATATATAATTATAAATGACTTTAGGTAGAAAATTCAACAATGGACACCAACACCACAATATTTCAATTGAAATTAAGGGCTTAGGGTTAGGTTTAATACTTTGCATAAATAAAATCAAAGGTAAAATTGTACATTCAAGTGTGCAATAATGAGAGGTATAATTGTAAATGGCATAGTGCAGAAATGCAAGGCTTAAGGTTAGGATTTTAAATTGGGTAAGCATTTTACGCATAAGATTTAGGGCCATCATTTATCAATTAGGGTTTAGGGTTTAGGATTAAGATTTAGGGGAGGTTTAGGAGTTAGAATTAGGGTTATGGTTTAAAGTTTAGGGTTAGAATTGGTGTTAAGGATTAAGCATTAAGGGTTTACGCTTTGGGGTTTAATAATAGGATTAAAGGGTTAAGCATTTAGGGGGATTAAGGGTTATGGGTTTAGGGTTTAGGGTTAGGGTGGGTTAGGGTTTAGGGTTTAGGATTAGGGTTAGGGTTGGGTTTAGGCTTTAGGGTTTAGGGTGGTTTAGGGTTAGGGGTTAGGGTTTAGGGTTTAGGGTTTAGGGTGGTTTAGGGTTAGGGGTTAGGGGTTAGGGTTTAGGGTTTCTTGTTATTTTGAAAAATCGATAAAATAGAAAACTGGTTAAATTGAGATTCAAAAATGGAAAGAAAATTCGTTCGAAAATCAGATGGAAAAATAAAGATTTGTTTGATACCAATTCACCGTTTTTTTTTGGGAGGAGAATTTCAAAAATCGAATCAATAGAATAACAAGAAAGAAAAAATAAAGTATATTTTTTAAACAAAGAGTTTTAAATCCAGCCATTAGTATGGTTCAGTGACTCACCCAGGAAGAAACAGTTCTAAATCCAGCCATTAGTATTCAAAAAAAATCAGAAACAGGGGAATTAAACAAAAATCAGAAACAGGGGAATTAAACAAAATTCAGAAACAGTAATTGGAACAAATAAGAAATCAGAGGAAAAAAAGATGTGAAAGAGGGATAATTAAACAAAAAGAAAATCACCATATTTATTGGAGTGAATGATTGGGGGAAAATTCGAAACACCATGATTCAATCAGCTTTAGAAGAAGAAAAGGCAGAGAGAGGATATGCGGAGAAACAGGAGTCGGAGGAGAACAAAACAGGGGAAATTAATTGTGGGATTATTAAATAATTGGGAAGTAGCGGAAAAAATTGGAAGGTTCGACAGATTGCTCACCTAACAATTTTTGTTTACTGTATTTCCGATTAATTTTGAAACTTGTTATGATTTTGATTTTACTTATACTTCCTCCGTTCTTTTTTATTTGATCCGCTTTAACTTTTATATTATTCACCATTTTCCTCTTTTGATCCTCTTTCGTGAATAATATATAAGAAAAACATATTCATGTGAAATCTTTTAAATTTGTCAACAGATGAAGTATTTAGGGTTTTTTTTTTTTTAGTTAGGGTTGATATAATCTTTGTTTTATATAATACATAATTTATTATTTTTTTTTTTAAAAAAAGAGCTTCAAAAGCGAATGATGAGAATCAATTCTTTTTTATTGATGGTAAAAAAAAATGATAAAGCGAATGATGAGAATCAATTCTTTTTTATTGATGGTAAAAAAAAATGATAATAAGGTAAAAAACATAAAAGGAGAATATTAAAACCTAAAAAAAAAAAAAATCCTAATACTCTATGTACTCTGTCATAAACTGATAAACTATCTTGAAACATTGTTTTTTATATATATATATATATATATATATATATATCATGTAAAATGTAAAATGTTATTTACTTATCTCTATTTTAAAAACATTAATATTTATACTCCGTAGCACTTCTCACAAAGAGCCATTCCCAAAACCCCAAAGAATCAATTCATTTAAAATACGAATTATATTGCATGTCATGTACCCGTAATATAGAATAGTGATTTCACAAATGGAACCGCATAGCTGTGTAGTTCATAAATCTTTGATTTGTTGTTCAAACTTGTATTGATGCTCATATCAATATTGACACGAGAAAAGAATAAATAATGTCAAACAATGAAAACCTAAAATGCAATAGGACCTATAGATACTTCATAGTTACATGAGAATTCGAAACTATAAAATGTGTTTCCTAATATCAATATTCTTACATTCATTCCTAACTAACCAAATTTTACATTACTTTCACCCAGAGATCATGATGTACTAACCACCCCTGGTTGTTTAAGCAAGCATCCCATTCCCACTTATGAAAATTTGACTTGCAACTTCCGAATCACTTTGCTGCTAACATATACAGGAGCCATCCACATTACATACACAAAATATTGTAGATTTTGTAACAAGCATGAAAGGCCTTTTACTTAATGATCACACAATCACGGTTGCTCATTATAAAGCCATAAAGCATGCTCTTTGCTGCCAGGGTTTGATTAGGGGTCCCGCATATGATAACCTTACCATCGGTTCCAGGAGAAGGATCATGAACAATGACAGTTGCACCTGAAATCTGGTTCGAATTACAATTAGGTCAATATGATAATTTCTGATCAAGGCAAATAAGCATCAGCTTAGCACTAATGTAGAACTACACTACTACGCCTACGTAATAAAAGCAGAACATATAATAGAAGTAATTATGAACATTTTCGTGGGAAGACAAAAGGAAAAGCACAGCAGTGATGCAGTTGAGAGCTAATTATGTGAAACTAATGCATGTCACTATAATAGTGCCAATTTGTCCCCCCACCAAAAAAAAAATGCCAATTTACAGCTTAAAACATTAGGTTCTCCTGGAAGAAGACAAGCAGATGGATTCAGATACATTCATGTAGAATTGTAGATCCCAGACCTTAAGTGATCTTGGGTACCAGATGTCAGAAAGGATCAGAAAGCACAAGTCATCAAAAGGATTTTAAAACAAGATTTTTAAGAAGGTACATATTCAAAAAGCACTAAAAAGTGTAGATACGAAGAGGTAGTGACCAGAAATCTTTGCGATAGTGAGTCTTTTCACATATAAAGTTTAGACTCCAAGCAGCTATCTTTTGACATAAAGCAAAATGCATAATGCAGAAATACAGCATCCAAGCTAATCACTTCAAGATACTATTCTGTTTAAATCACCCTTCCCAACTTCCACCCCACACCCCCCAATGAGAAGTAAGAGTCTAGAAAGGCTGATTACCTGTTTCAGACGAGACAGATTAACACCACCTTCACCATACACAAGACCAAATACATGAGCAGGAACCACAATTTCAACTTCCGTATTTCTGATGACAGAACACTCATCCCCACTGCACAAGCAGTTAGCTCAAGCATTAAAAAGGAAATTGAGTCAAACAAATTTTTTGCTCAATATACTTGCAATTTTCATACTCTTGCCGCTAATTTAAACGCAAAGATACAATCAAAATAATACAATAGTAGTTTGAAAATATCCAATATGGCTGTTTACATTATGAATATCACATCATTAACAGATAAACCAACACAATCACAATTTCTTCCTTCAGAAGATACCAGCAATTAACATCAAATCATCAAAAGCCCACTTCAAGCAGTTGCTGCCAAGCAATTAACATCAAATCATCATTCATGCAAATGTAGACCACATTGTCAATATTACAGCAATTAGTACAACTCTTATAGTCACTTAAGTAAAGTAAGGCGTCAATCAAGAATACAAAGATCTAATTGACTCACTTGCACAGTAGCAATATTGTTGCCGTTACACACAAAGATCAAATCATATCAGATACAAAAAAATTATTCCTCTGCCACTGCTCTCTTTCATATATGCCACCACCATTATCTTTCTCTTCACTACAATAACCCTCATCCTCCATCACCTGTAGTTTCCACCTCCATCATAGCAAGTTTGGCCTCCTTATGCCACAAACTTGATTTATACCAACAGTAAATCAGATACTAAGTGTTTAGGAGGACAGTAGTTAGCCGGTAAAACTTTTATTTCCCTTACAGATCTCATATTCTTCCTTGAGGTGGTGTTTTGCTTACTGTCTGGAATGGATGAGAGATGATGGTCACCATGGTTTTTATTAATGAGTAATACAATTGATAGGTATGGGGGTGTAAAGGGAAAGCTGGGTTGGAGTGACTGTTTTTGGTAGTGTAGGGGGTTAGACAGTGGTGGTGGTAGGGAAGAAGATGGCGATCAGTGAGGAGTGTGGGCTGAAATGGAGAGGATGCAGATGATGGTATGGGTGGAGGAAGGGTGAGGTGGTGGTGCTAGATGTGAAAATTGCAATGGTGGTGGAACTGCAGGAAGATGGTTGCAGTGCTGTAACCAGAGACTGTACAAGGGTGCAACAGCATACAGACTAAATAGTCCTTAGGAATGAGGGAAGCAAGTGAAACAAAATATGCGGTAATTATAATAAAAAAAAAATAAACATAAAAAAATAAAAATAAAAAAATAAAAGAAAGAAAACAAGAAGAAACTATACCAAAACACTCAGAATGAAAAGGGAAGATATTAATTTCCTTACCATTCCAAGGTCTCTCAACTGCCCTTAACACTAGTGATGAAACATGAAAGAGCTACATTGATGAGGTCCATATAGTACTGACCTGACAAGTTCTGTGCTGCAAGATGCCATAAAATCACCTCGATTTTTCTTAAATGTAGCCTGAGAATGTCCAAATGAACACTGCGATCAACAACCACCTAAATACTCAAGTTTAACTACAACCTAATGATAGATGACAAATCTAATACTACGTAGTATTGACTAATGAGATTTTACCTCAGATGACTGAACTGTGGGTGATGAAATGTCTGTATCATAAGAAATCGCACGCTTATCTTCATTTGACAAGGTAGTGGTTGCCTGGACATGAGGAGGCCGACCATAAACATCGTAAAGCATGTGTGGTAGAAGAGGTGTAAATATCGCTCTGCTGGAAAATATGCTTTCCCTCAGTGTCCATGTGACTTGAAGCAGACAAGTATGCACATCAGAAAACTCGCCAACTATCTACAAGAAGGTATTGCGTTCAACCTTTAAATGGGAATTAAATATGTCGACAAGGCATATCCAGCGCATATATCATGGTCTATACACTTTGAAAGCGTAATATAAATGCCTTAATTATTGAAATCAACAGAAGAAACTGATGACGCAGCATAGGCATCATCCTTCACAGATAGATAATCATACCTGTATAATTTTCTTACCCACCAAAGCAGCAGAAGTACAATGACTGTCTAATATCTGCACTTCAGCACCAGCAGTATCTTCCATATCCAACATGTTTACTTGACTACATGGAATCAGGAGTTTTGCAGTCACAGAGTCTCCTCTATTCTGACCTACATGCCCAGATCCTGAGGCAGCTTCCACTGATCTTGTAAAAACACGGAGTGGCTTCTTGGGCTGGGGAATACTGACATTCCTTGTTCTAAAATTGACAAGCCACCATGCATAAGACAAGAAGCTTATCAGAGATCAAGCTCACACAAGTCTCTTACCAAAAACACAAGGCTGAATATGCATAGCTTGTAAACTTACTTAGGCCTAAACTAAAAACTAATAATAACACTAATAATACAACAACAGCAGAAGCAAAGATAAGAGAATTTGAAAATTAAAAAAAAAAAATCCCAGTTTTGGCAATTTACACTCTGTGGATGGATTTACCTCAATATCATCACACCCTTTACTTGCAAATTTTACATTTCTACAAGACTTGATGAAAGAAGGAACTCTAAAATACATTAATCATTTTACTTGTATATTTTGAAATGCAAGTAGGGTATTTATCTAAACGTAATCCAAGAACAACCTATCATTTCGGCATATTGAAACAACAAGGTGCTGAAATGATAAAAAAGAGCAACTAGAATATCAAATTCTAAAGTGTTAAAAATCTAGAATAGAAGTATATATAATAAAACCATGCAAAACTTAAAAGGGACAAGAAGGAACCAGAATATATATCAAAAATGTTACTAACAAACCTCCATAGCAGACACCATGATAACACACTCATCACTACCCACTACTGGGTCTATCACTTCTATACGAGTTCCTGTTTCCCTTTTTAAGGCTTTCATTATGCTCCCTCCCCATTCAATCAAACCATCAGCCGCATAAGTGGGGCAAAGCAGCCTGAAAGCCACTTCTTTGGTCCCTGCAGCCACACAACTTAGACCCCTATCTCCAGCATCTGTATCAATGCTTAGATGTTTCTGTGCATGCAGATCATGTGATACCCCATCGGAAACTGAACCACGAAATTGACTTATAGCTCTTGAACTGTTTCCTTGAAGACAATATGTAACAGCAAGCAGCGCCTTTCTTACTGCCAGGGAATCACCTGTAATCTGTAACACAGAAGTGCATCTGAAGAATCAGTCAAAAAAAAGAACTTATAACCAGATCTTATGGACACAACAAAAAACATGCTCAGTCACATTGACATGAGTTCACCACATTTTACAAAAATAAAAATAAGAAGAAAAAAAATCAATAAAAGTGAGGTTTCTCAAGCATATCAAGGTTTGGGGTAAAATTTGAAGCATTTAGAATATTGGTAATTCTCTTCTCAACTACAATGGAAGTATGGTCAAAACTATTTAGCCATGAAGGTCCAAAGATGACATGTTGATACCATTAAAGGTTGATATGGGCCAGCATTTTCTGTCCCTAACTGAAGTCTGAATGCAATGGTTGTGAGACTATTGACTTTTGTGAGCTGAAAACAATTGTTTTCTCCCCTTCAAACAGCAACAACAGAATAAATAGCACTCTATTTAACATTTCCCAAAATGGTTTGCTATATGTTTGACAACAAAGCAATGTTGCCAATATACTTCGTATGAGTTTACACATATCATCTACTACAACCATTATTATACATATTTGTTCAAATAAATAACCCAAAACCTAATCAACATGATGCACTGCAACTAGAATAAACTCTACAATCATTTTATAAATTGTTCAAATTATAATCACATTTCTTTGAAAAAATCTGAAATTAGTATCACACCTCATTGCAAATTCTAATTACTCCTTCCGTTCCATAATAATTGACACGTGTTGACTTTTTCATAATTTTGACCTATTTTTGGAATATCAAATCTTGTAATTTTTACTACTCTACATAATTAAGTGGGAATTTGGGACCAACATCCAAGTCCCCACTTCCCAATTTCAAAAATAAACTCGGCTAATCAGATTAATTATACCTTGATAACATAAATCATTCTAAAAAAAACAACATTATCACTCTCAAATTCTTAATCCTAGCGATAGAGTCGGCTACATGAACCAGAATTCAACAATAATCGAAATTTAACGAACTAAATCAACTAAAATTCAGGCGTGGATCACAGCAATGCTAATCATGGATTATAATATTATTCCTAATCTCACTAATTCCAATTCAAATTAAAAAATCAAACAAAACAAAAAGTTGAAAAACATAAACCTGAATCAAATCATCAGAAATATCAGCACAAAGAGGATGCTCATCCAAAGGCAATACCCTAATAGTTACACCCACAATTCCAACCAACGACTTAATCTTCTCTTCTCCCTTCACCGTCAACAACCGGCAACACCGGTAACCCTCCGCCGTATTCTCTTCAAGAATCTCCCAAACCCTAAACACCGCCAATTGCGCCGACGAAACCTCGAATTTTCTCTCTCTTCCACTACCATTACCATCCCTCAAAATTAGTGTCTTATCCAAGTTTCTGGGTCCGACGATGTTGACAATACGCTCGTCGCACCCAGAAAGTGGGTCTTCCACGTGAAGTAAGGAGAGACCAGTTTCACGTGTAATCTTCTGGGACATGGCACTGCCGTGCCCAATGACGGCGCTGCCGGCTTGTATGGGAGAAAGTAGGCGGAATGCCACGTGTCCTTGAGGTGGTTTAAGGTGGGGTTTACGGGTGTTGTTCCCGGATTTTCCGGTGGGTTTTTTCTGCTTTTTTTCATGGTTTTGAAACCCAGAATTGGGGTGGTGGAGGCGGTGGTTGTGGTGGTTGCGGTGAGTAGAGTGGAGTACTGGAGTAGAGTAGAGTAGAGTATGAAAGAAGAGGAAATGAAAGGAAGCGTATGTCAGGAAGACTGAAAAGGTGATCAGCAAAAATTAAGAACAAGCTTAAATTGCGCGGGAAGTGTGAGTAGTGATTTTAGGTTAGTTTGTCTTACTAGGAGTACAAAGTAAAGGAAATTATTTTCCTCAAAAAAAAAAAAAAAAAAAAAAAGTAGGAAGTACCGAAGGAGATTATTTATTCAAGATAAGTTCCTTGATTTTTATTTTTATCTTTACTAAGACGGATTGAAAAAGATAGATTGCAGCATTAGCGGTTAAGGAAAACAAATTTGAGTCGATTCTGTAAAAGGTGAGTGATAACGTGTTGTTAAAAAAAAACGTTTTACAATAAAATTTAGATTTATACGTATTTTGCTTGAAATTTCACAAACAAACGTGTACAAAGAGTAAACTTGAGTTTTTTTCATTGCTAAAAATAGTTGGAATGTTCTCTTTTTATTCATTTAAATAGGCAACAAGTATTGTGCCGTGAATTTTTATGAAAAACAAATTTGAGTCGATTCTGCAGGAGGTGAGAGAACGCGTGTTATCAGGAATGATGATGTGTTTATGCTTTCTACATACTCCATAATGAATGCTTCTTTTAATTTTTAATCACTAGAGCATGATACTTGATTGTCAAAGTTTTTAAAGTTGGCCACCAAACTCAAAATGTAACAATATTAGAAAAGAAACGGTGGGTATACGTAATTATAGATTATCTTAGTATCTAATAACATTCACATGGAGTATCAGTCAAATGTACACGTCAATGTTATCACAAAACAGGTAAGCAGGTATCTAATGTTGTATATATTTTCGACGGTTTACTGTTGCGCCCAGAATTTGGCTCTTGCCCCGATGGCCTGGTATAGGTCACACGCTTTAGCACCATCCCTTATTATAAAGCAAGTTTTAGAGTTAATTTAAATATTAAGCTAGGGGAAAAAAAATGTTATTATTAAAACTGTTATTTGAGAAATTACTTTTCGATTTTGTATTATTATTAAAGTTGTCTAATATGTGTGTTTATAAATTTTCATATACATATTTATAGTTGGATGTATGTGTATTTGTACGAATGTTAAAAAGACCGAAATACTCTATGTTGTATTTATATCATTTTTCCTTATTCTTTTTCTTTTTCTTTTTCTTTTTCTTTCTTGCCTCTTCTCCCTCGCGTACCCGTGTCTCATCCCTCTTTCTTCTTTCACCCAGCCACCGAATGCTTCTTCTCCTTTATTCTCACTAGAGCATACTCGTGTCAAAGTACGGCTGTACGGATTATATTAATCGTATGCATCGATTGGTTTTTTTTTTTTTTTTTTTTTATATGAAAAAGTTACTGTATCACTCTGTATGTTTACCCATCCAATGGATGGAATATATTTATTGGCTAATGAAATAGAATAGGTAAGTTTTTTATATAAAGAGTAAAATTTGTAATTATTGGTAGTTTTTTAAACAAAATGAAAATTAATTGGCTATAATTGTAAGGATAGAGTTTGAGTGCTATGGGTAAAAGTTGAAAAATAAAAAAAATAAAGCTTTTTAATAATAAAATAGACTAGATTAGTACTACCTGACTACCTGTGCATTCGGTGGCCATAAATAAATTTTTCCCAAAATGTATTTTATATCTTTAACTTTATAAAAACTAGAGTATACCCGTGCACATGTTATTATATGTATGTTTTGAAAAAAAAAAAAAAAAAAAAGAGGTAGGAAGTGAAAGTTATTAATGGGTGGTTATTGATTATTTTTTTAATTGAGTGATATGGGTAGTTATGGGTAAAAAGGGTCCTATTGATTATTTTTAAAATAAAAATAAAATAAAAGGGTTAGATTTAAATTGAGTGATATGGGTAATTATAAGTAAAAATGGTGGTTATTGGTAATTTTTTAAAAAAAGAAAAATAAAATAAAAAGAAGGGCTAGAATTGCAGGGATGGGAATTTGGAGTGTTGTGAATAAAAGTTGAAAAAATAACTCTTTAATTATACTATAAGATTGTTTGGCTCGCTTTTTTTTTTTTTTTTTTTAAATATGTTCTTAATAGTTTTATAAGGTAAATTAATAAATATTATAAACTTGTACATATTCCTCTTACTTTAATGGTTATTATTTAATGATGCATCATAATATTTACTGTATTATCGAAAATATACTAAAGTGATAATTAGACAAAATATATTTAATGCTATTTCTATCGAAAATTATGCCAATAGTGAAGCTAATAACTTGAGACGAAGAGAGTAGTGAATAAGGTTACAAACTAGTTTCACCAGCTAGCATTAGCTACAAGCCTACACAATTGAACACTGGTTGAGTGGTAAGAGTAGCATTTCTAAAGCTAATATTAAAGCCATTAACTAAAGAGGCAACCCCCTGTCTATTTGTAATTTTGCAATGATATACATGAAATACTCTCTACTCCTCTGTATTGGCTCCCTCAAGTGGAAAATATCCTGGCTTTCTACATTGACACGTTTACCAAAAGAATATTCACTCCTATCTTATTTACAGAGTTCAGCAGTTATCTGCACAGACGTGATAGCAAGAGCCTTTGACAGTCATCGAGCAGCCATAATAAACCTTCCGATCACTCGCCAGGCAATGATCCTGCACTTCAACTTTTGCTCCTGAAATCTGAGCCAACGACATGTAAGATATCAGTACTCAATATTGTTCAGCAGTTGTTATGAAGGGAGCCTATTTTTTTCAACCAAATAACCCATGGCCAACAGGAAACCAAGTCACAAAACTGAGTTCACCTTCAATTTTCACATCTTATGGGAGATTACAAGGGTAAGATGACTAATTTCACAACTAACAAAACCACAAAGCAAAGCAATTTATTACCCACATTCCGGGAGGATTCCACTTTCACCTAGGCGGGATCAGGGTCTGACATAAGCAGCTTGTGCGTATCCCATCATGAAAAATTAATCTCTATCAACTATCACGCACAAATGATGAATAGATAGTGATAGCCAATGGAGACTAGGAGTTCGAGCATCTAGTTTTCAGAGTTCAAATGGGATTATTTTTTTTGTCAATAATAGGTTGCTTAAATTTTTGGAACGCATATTTCATTCAGCACCATGTGAAATGAAGCACCAAACAATCATGCAGTGAGCTAAGGATTCCATTTACATTAGACCACAATTGTCTTCTTACTGCCAATTCTTATTTTGAAAAAGAATTAAGAATAGGACGATTATTACCGTTCGTAAACGAGATAAATTACTGCCATCATCTCCAAAAACAGAACTAAATACATCTGCACGAACAGATATCTCCATCTTCGAATTTGTCACAATAACAGATCTGTTGATACTGCACAATCAGCCAAATACATAAACAAACAGAGAAAGGCTCCTTTCATGATCACATCAACAGCATATATTGATACACATTGTCCAGAAACAATCTCTTTCAAGCCATGAATCTGCTGAGTGCCAACTATAGTTGACATTTCTTCAGAACAATGTTATCATCTAATGATGTTTTTTTAGGCAATACTCCCCACTAAAAAACAGTCTCCATAAGATTAGAATGCCACAATAAACAGCTAATATCATCATCAACAGTAACATAGCTCAAAAATATTATTAAAGAAAAAGGCTATGCAGAAAGATCTTAAGCATGTTACAATTAGAAAACTGAAAACAAATATTGATGTCCGGGATAATTAGATCATCACAAAGGATATCACAGTCAATCACCATAAATATGGGATGTGGGGAGTGAACCCTTATCCAGAGTACAACCGAATTAATGAGTATGTAAAAGTCATACCAAAAAGAAGGATAATCCGAGATCCCTTCTAAGAGATCTAACATTCCATACAAGGAGGGAAGGGGAATAAATACATGTATACTTCCAGAAAACTTCCAATAGGGATATGAAAAAGGTAAATATAAAATAAAATAAGTATTGAGGGGAGGTGATTGTTCACAACTTGGCCTTGATAGATATTGTGGTGCAATAGGATGCAGTAAATTCTGGATAAGGGGGTTCTGGTTCCTTCCTTCACCTTACTAGAATCAAGCTGTTCAAAGTCATGAGTTCATGACAAACAGCCCTCCTCCAATCACCTTTACTGCATCTTTAAACACTACTTTCCCAAGCATATCAGCTATTCCATCTGCCATTACTATCATATATCTCTATTGGTATATAATTCCTGTTGATCTATCACGTAATAAGTGTTTCAGATAGACAAGGCACACATGAAAACAGAAGCCTTTTAGTCTTTCACTATAACATCAAACAGTGACTCAATGAAGAATACCCATATGATAAACACCTATAATAACTTTGAAGCTTATATTACAATGCAATAATATTCTCGAATCGGAACAAGAAATAAGGAAAGGTGGTCTAAATGAATGCACAATGAGAGGGAGTAACAAAATGATTAGACTCTTATCACTCAGTTCCTTGAATAATAATCCCTAAAATCCCAAATTCCTAATACAATCTCTTGACAAGTGAAGGGAGAGATAGGAGAGGATTTAGTACAGTACTACAGTTGTACAGAAGGATTCAAGTGCTGTGTTACATCTTGCTTACAGTGAAATCAATGAGCAAAGAGTACGTATTAAGTAGCATGCAACTTAATGCACATATTTATATAGACTACACCACTTTTTTCATTAATAAATTCCAAGGTTTTATAGGATAATACACAATTACACATACAAATAGAAGCATTGTATTTATTATAAGCATGCAACCACAAATGTCATAAAAGCAACTAATCTAGCATGTAGCAACATATATGACTAACCTGCTATGTTCAGAATCACCAGTAACTGTCGTTAAATCTCTTGAATGTTTTATACTAGCAGAGTGGCTGTGTCCACTGGACAGCTGTAAGCATGCTCCACTTAAGATCCAGAATACAAAGACAATGGAAAACGTAAAGGATAATGAACGAGAAATAGTCAATAATCACCTCAGATTGTAGAGCATTAGATGGCACGGAGCCATTAGATTTTTCAGTTACTCTACAGTCCTTCATATTCTTTGTTAAAGCAGCCGTTTCGTTGAGACATTGAGGCAGATTGAATAGTTTATGTGGAAGAAGAGGTGAGTTGTTCTTGGCTGATATTGAATCAAAAACACACTCTCTCAGCATCCAACTGACTTGAAATAGAGCAATTTGCACACTAGCATACTCACCATCTATCTGCAAGCAGTGACCATAACCACATCACCCCGAGTTTAGTTAGTCGAGCAAACAAAAAGATACCCTAAGAAAACTAACAGCAGACAGCAGAAAGCACATAGGCAAGCAGGAATAAGTAGCTCAAGTTGAATAACCACAATCGATAGCATAGGAAAACAGTTTTAGAAAGCATCACTAGATGACCATAAGATCAAAAGTTTGGGCTATAAATGGTTAAAAAATCGCATCTTCACATGAAAGACTAGCCACAAGGGCCTTACAGAACAAGAGAGTAGCTCTCCGGTCCTAGAAGGACACACTACTAACAAGGCACCAACTAGTAGACAAACATATACCTAGCAAACCCTTGGAATAATGACTTGAGTACATATTCACAGTCTCACTACCCAAAAAATGTGAGGTTTCCATGGAATTTATAAAATATTATGTGCTCGATGGTTTGGTCGCATTGAAAATCTGATAGTTTGAAATGCCTAATAAACTTGGATTTTTTTTTTCATGTATATATATTTCAGGTATGCAAATGCATACCCATCACATTAAGGTTGATTAGGAATGTGGCATAGGCACGTACAGTTTACAAGCAAACAAACTAGTAGAACATGAAAGATATTTCAGTATTCTTACATCTTAGCAATGAAAACACAATGACCAGAACAAATGATATTAGCTGGACCATGCAAAAGACATTGAAAACTTTTTTTTATAAAAGATAATTATAGTTCAGAGAAGTGTAAACACTTCTAAGATCACCTGTATAATTTTATCGTCAGTAGAAGCACCAGCATGTGTGTAATTCGGTTCCAAAATTTGCAACGTAGCACCAGTTGCTTTCGGTATACAAGATGTGATTGAATCCCTTAATACGTTTAGGTGACCAGATTGGCTGGGCTGGATCAGAAGTCTGGCAGATGCATTCTCCCCTGATGACATTAATCCATTAAATACACGAACAAGAGCATTTTGTGCAGAGGAATGTTTTGATTTCCTGTTCTATAAGTGAGGAAACGAAGAAAGTATCAGTGAGAAATACAGATGAAACAGCAGTTCTCAGTCACTTTCTCCTCTAATTCTATACCATTGAAATTCAGAAAACACCTTCAAATTTACACTTTGGACATCCTCCAACATATAGGAAGAGATACACGTCAACCAATAACCTGATAGCCTACACTATCCCGTATACTCGCCATCTTTTCTCTTGGCAATGGAAAAATTAACTTAATTGGCATTGACTACTGCAGAAATACCTATATTGGTGCATACATGCATGTGCTAGTGTTCAGGATTGTGGGAGTAAATGTATGAGCTTGAATCAGATGGATGAAGCTTGTATTTGCAGGTGATTATGTATTTAAATGAGACTTGCGAGGGAGAGTGTACATGGATGAGAATATAGGATTCATTTCATGATTTATGCTACACAAACATGTGTAATGTGGTCACCAACTCAACATACAAGGGATTGATCAAACCAAAGTTCTGAGGCATTAATTTTCTCAATGCCACTCAATCAAGATCAAATAATTAACAAGATCAAACTAGGAATGACTTGATGTTACATAGATAACAAATCAAAAGCCACAAAATACTCAAGAGGGTTTAAACATAATTGAAAATTTATAAATCTCAATTCACTGTATGTAAATTCCTTCAAAAAGGAAGAAAGCAAGAAGGCACACCTCAAAACCAGAAATAGTGATGACACGCTCAACGCTGATATCATCAGGAGCAGAAAGCAGTATAGAAGCCCCAGTTTCCTCCTCGAGAGCTTTCACTCTTCTCCCTCTGAAGCCTATCACAGCACCAGCCGCCTCCCATGTACAAAGTAATTTGAAAACCACTTCTGCTACTTCTCTTTTATTCACTATGTCATTATTAGCTGCATCACCTATCTCCATTTTCATGCTCGGACGTAGGTTTGCAGATGCTCCATTAGCTTCTGTGATTTGCAAAGTCTTCTGTTGAATATATCTTGAAATAGCTAACAGAGCTTTCTTTACAGCTAGGCTACCACCACTAATCTACAGTGAAGAAAATTCACAGGTGATATAATCTGGTTATAGATATTTATCTCCTCTAAAATTAACTGTCACATTTCCCAACCCAACTAGCTAAGGATTCATCATATTTCATTAAAAATTAAGTGCCCTTTACAAAAATTGTTTCCTTCCTCCACCACTTCATTTATGTCAGAGACCCAGAATCTATAACTTTTGAATTTCTGACCATAACCGATTTTTATTTTAAAAAAGTATGACGACTAATGCAAACATCTTATAACAGTATTATTTGGCCAGCATATAAATGCTTTTAATAGTAAAGGTAAACCTGTCAAAAATCGACCCAACCGGACCCAAAAATAGTGGTTATGAAGAATATTATGTGATCCACAACATGATCTTATTCGAAACCAAATAACCAGCCGGTAGACTCAAGAATCATCATATTCATCATAACCGATTGTATACTTACAGCAGAATTCGTACGAAAAGGTAATGCTGACTACACATCGAGAATTTGGTCCCCTTTAACGAGCAAGTATTTGTTAATATTGTACTACAAACATGACATGCACTCCAACCAAATGTTCACAAATATGCCCACTTGATTAACTCTTTTTGTTAACCCGAATAAGTTCTACTCATGTACTACTCACTCAAACAAACATGGACATACATAGTTACATACAAAAGACATTCTAAAATCCCTTAATCAATCGGGTCAAGTCCAAACCCAAAAAACTTTGGGTCATGAACCAGCAATGTTCAACGAGTTCAAAAGGTATCATAAAAAATAATAACCCAAACTCAAAATTCTCTCCTCAAACATTCAAATTTGCAAAAATTGCACCAACATGTTCAACCTCAAACAATTTATTAATAAAAAAAATGCTTAAAAATAGTAGCAATTGAAAAAGAAAAACTCAAAATTACCTCTATCAATTCATCATTAAACCCAGCACAAGGTAGAACCAACTCATTCGGAGCAAAAATGACGATTTTCCCACCAGACTCCTTGCTCGTCTTCTCAATCCTTTTCCCTCCAGCACCCATTACAGCTCCAACCAACCCAGGTCCCACCAGTAACTGACACGTCACCTTCCCACCATCAACCTCCGGTAGACCCACCTCTAGCATCCGGTCAAAAACCCTAATCAAACCCTCTTGAGCCGCCGAAACCGGTACCTCCAGGTTAGCAACCCGCACCTTCCGGTTCACGGTACTTCCCCCAATAACATGGATGAGGCGCTCTTTACAGGACGATAAAACGACGTCGTCGACACGAATTTTGGCGGAGGTTTCTCTTTCTAGGTTCTTGATGATACCGCCGGCGTGACCGATGACGCCGCCGGCGACGCGTGAAGGGCATAGTAGCCGGAATTCGACGTTTCCCGGAGGAATTGTGGGTTTGTAAATTTGATTAGATTTCGAATTTTTGTTGTTGGACATTACAGAAATTTCAAATTTGTCAGAATAATTCTAAGGGATTTGAGTATGAAGTTATGAACTACGGAGTATGAAGGTGGAGGGAGTGATAACTGAGGAGAAAGAGAGTGCGCTCTCTTTGTTTAAATACGAGGGCGATGACAATTATATCCTTGAGTGTTGTGATGATACCAAAATTTGGTTTGGGGACATTGTGGAATTGAAGGAAATTGAGTGGAAGGGTCCGATGATAGTTTGCCTTCTTTTTGCGAATGATAGTCTTTTTTTAAATAGAAATTTCTGTTTTTGATTCCTTGGTAATGTCATCTTCGAATTTTCTTCCCTATTTAGATCATTTGTTACTTTAACGACTTTTTGTCACTTCTTAATATGTAATAGCGATTCTAGGGAATTAAATCATATTAGTTATATTTTATAAGTCCAAAGCTATTTTAAGATCGTTATTTGAGAATTTCTATTAAATTCTCGTAATTACAGAAAAATAAAATTCATATCGCTTGTTCATTTAAAGCGAATGGAGTGAAAATAAGTAAGGGGGATATGGATTTAAAAAAAGAACACATTATACCTCCAAAATAATTATAAGGGTGTGGTACAAGTGTAAAAGTGTAAGAGATATGAGATAAAATCACTATTGGAAAACACAAAGTTTTATATGCAGCAAGTCACACCGTATGGCTGGGGTTACTTACTCAAGGGTTACTCGGTCGATCATGGTTACTCGGTCGGTTAGAGGTTACTCAATTAAGGGTTACTTGGTCGATTATGGGTTACTCGGCCGGTCAGGGAGTGATAACAACGTTTAATGTTTTGGTATGTGTCAGTCGGTCGCATAGTGTGGCTAGTCACACAGAAAACGCGCTGATTAGAAAATATGTGTGTGGTTGTGATATATTTTCCATATTGATATTAATAAGAGAATAATATATTTAGGAGGAGATATTTAGGATTATTTATATTAAGATATTATTTAGTGAATATATCTTTAGAATTTTATGATTATGGTAGTATATTTTTTAAGAAGATTTAGTAAGATTGTTACCTATCATATGGTTGTAGGTTTTGTATAAATACTTTTTTCTATTAATGAATAATAATCACTATTTACCTTCTATACTAAATTTATTAAAAAGACATTTTACATCCTTGATGAAAAAGGAGGACAGAGAATAAAGATAAAGATAAGTAAGAGCAATTAAGTAATTTTCTTACTTATCCTAATCAAATTCCAATTTCACATCAAACAAGAGGAAACTCCATTTTTGATCTTATCTCACATTCTCACCTACTATTTCTTTATCATTATCTCAACTTTGTATGATCCTTATTGATATTCCTCGTACCAAACGTTCCATTAAGAAAAATCATATCAAAATGATGAAAGGCTAGTCCTTAAATTTAGTCTCAAAAGTTCCTAAAATTGAATTTAGCCCATTAAGTTTGACTTGTTAGGTGCATCTAAGAGATAATATTTGTCATCATTATAATACATTTATAATTGGAATTCCTTTATAATTTTATACATTGTGAGGTAATTAAGAGATAAATATTTGTCCATTATTATACATGTACTTAACAGCTACAATTAGCCGATTAGGTATGCTCGAGTGTATTATACCAGAGATTGCGGCCTGATTTGGAAAAGTCAAGCTCCTCAGCATTCAAGATATTGACCCTGAATTGGCTCGTCACTCATTATGGTTGGAGTCCTGTTATAGAGGGGTTTCAGCGTAGAAGGCCACTATCCACTAACTATTCTACCGTTTCTTTTGGATAGAGTGATGAATGCAGAAAACCGGATCAAAATATCAAAGGACTGCAAAGACAGGTCAATAGATAGAAGCCGTCTCTGAGCCTACATGCTCAAAGATGAAGCAGGTTAGATTCACAGAGAAGAGGCAAACACAGCTAGTGCAATCACAGTTGTAATTGTAGTGACCAAAGACTTGCACAATTGCACCGCCATCATGTTGTTAAGGTGGAAGTGTATAAAAGACCAAGAAATGATGGCTAGATTTGTCTACTCTTTCATTCTACAGTAATTTTTTTCAGAATGCATGCGCTCAATTGTTGCTGTCACATGTATATATACTTATACATCTGTATTTTGTTCTACTCTCAGCATATATGAACTACATATGGCAGTATAAAACTAGATAAGCTATAAAAGCAACAGAGATGTCAAACAACAATTCCCAGGACGTTGATTTTTGGTTCCCAGATTCTTAATTTCTTATCATACAGATGTAGAACTGCACATAACTTGCTATATAGAAATTCATATATATCTACGAAATGTTGCATGCATATTCATCTAAACAGGTGTCCCTTGATAGAAATACCAAAGAAATTCAGTGGCAAAGCTTATCCACAAAGTTGTGATCTCCCATTGCTTCAGTAATCTGTTATTTGCCCCTCTTTCTCTAAGTATCGCAGGAGCCATGGATAACAGGAAGGAGCTTCACATAGTAGTGTTTCCATGGCTAGCATTTGGTCACATGATACCATTCCTAGAGCTCCCAAAGCACTTGGCTACAAAGGGACATCGCATATCTTATGTGTCTGCTCCACGAAATCTTGAGCGCCTCTTTCCAAATATACCCCAGGAATTGGTTCCCTTTATTGAGCTAGTCCCTCTTCCATTTCCAAGAGTTGAAAAGCTACACCAAAATGCTGAAGCAACCTCAGACGTGCCCTTTGGTGATGTCGAGTTACTCAAGAAAGCCTATGACGGTCTAAATGAACCGATGGCTAGGTTTCTGGAAGCTGCTTCTCCAATTGATTGGATCATCTATGACTTCCCAAGCTATTGGCTGCCTCCAACTGCTGATAGACTGGGTGTCCGCAAAGTTTTCCTGTCTTTAATGAATGGCTGGAGCTCTGCAGCTTTTGGTCCATCATCAAGTATGGTCAAAAATGGCGCTGGAACATGGAGTAACCCTCAAAGCCTGACTAGTCCACTCAAGTGGATTCCATTCCACAACAAAGTTGTCTACCGGTTCCACAAAGCAAAGAAGAGCATCAGTGCCACACACAAAAATGTTTCTGGTGTTTCAGATATGTTCCGCAGTGGATCTTCAGTCCGTGACTGTGATGTCTTTGCCATACTTAGCTGCAGTGAGCTTGAAAATGAATATTTACAACTTCTAGAAAAGCTTCACAGCAAGCCAGTGATTCCTGTAGGCTTGTTGCCAATCTCAGTGGACGAGGGCAAAAGGGCAAATGATGATACCTGGCAATCAATAAAGGGTTGGCTGAACTTGCACACAAATGATTCAGTGGTTTATGTAAGCCCTAGGCAGGGAGTTTTCTCCGAGTCAAGACACAATCATCGAGTTGGCACTTGGATTGGAGCTGTCCATGCTGCCCTTCTTCTGGGCACTTCGGAAACAAGCATATAAACCACTGGAGCTTCCGGATGGATTTGAAGAACGAACAAGAGTTCAGGGTTTGGTTTGGACAAATTGGGCACCTCAAAGCCAAATATTGGCACATGACTTGGTGGGTGCTTTCTTGACACATTGTGGCTGGAGTTCTATAATAGAGGGAATTCAGTTTGGAAGACCACTAGTTATGCTACCATTTGTGTTGGACCAAGGATTAAACGCAAGAGTTATGGAAGAGAAAAAAGTTGGCATAGAAATACCAAGGAACAATGACGATGGATCATTCACTAAAAATTCAGTAGCACAATCACGGAAGATGGTGTTTGGGGGCATACATGGTAAGATCTACAGAGCTGAGGCAAAAAAATGAGCAGAATGGTTTCGGATAAAAGCTTGCAGCAACATTATACAAAGAATTTCGAGGAGTACCTTTACAACAGATCCATACCTGAGACCGTGTGATTCTTGAGTAAGCAGATGATATCTATGTTTATAACCTAGTCAAAAGCAACATTTTTTTTCTTGGGATCCTTCGTCTTTTCTTTAGGTGCCAATGGAGGATGTCTGTGTCCTTGTAGCATGTTCCATGCAATAATTGCATCCTCCAAATTGGTCAGCAATTACCAATTGTCAATTTGCTAGGACAAAATTCAGGATCCATCATATCCCCTTCTTCACTGACACAGCAAGAAACAGAATAACTGATTAGGTAGTGTTCAACCACTTCAGCTAACTAGGTCAAACAACTATCTCATTGTTTTTAAAGGTGCTTGTTAATTACAAATATCAACCAACAAATCAAATTTCATGGTGAAGAAGTCAGCTAATTCAATAAATAAGTAGCCAAAAATCTAGTGCACAAGCTAGTAACTGTCGTTCAACCAAGCTCCAATAAGGCTAACATCATCCCAAATTTTCAATATCGAGATAATCTCATGAAATAATAAATAAAGAGATTTCATAGCATGTAATTGTATTTAGATAGTGTAATATGCTAATACTAAGTATATTGGTGGATTCACGTGGTACAATGCAGAGAGATTCTCGCCTTTTTTTAGCAGAAACAAGTCATCAACTATACTAGACTTATACAGGCATCTAGGGTCAGTTAAAAATTGTGTTGTGGCAGGTTGGGGTAGTGAACGGATTATGAGAATAATTATGCATAGAAAATTCATGTAGATGCATAGAATTGTGAAAGCTAACCCATCTATTTTGAAGGTGAAGTCAGCTTATTCTCATCCTGATTTTGCTTCAATGAGGAATCCCCACCCATCAATTCTTGGAAACCTTCTACCTTCACTGGTGGTGCCCTAACAGTCCCAATACTCATACTCCTGCATGAAAGAATCAAAGTCAAAAACTTATCAAATTATTCATGTAGAACAGAATCCATCTCTAACCCTAGTATATCTTACGGCGATGGTATCTGCGGTATCTGCATGGAAGTTGGCTGCCTCATTTGATTGCCAGACGATCCCATGAACCTTTGAAAAACTTGCTGCTGCTGCCGCCATTGAATTTGTTGGGCTTGTCTATTCATTGCATTAAATGAATTATTCTCCAAAGGTAATTCAGGTGGGTTCTCCAGCTTCACCTCAACCATGGGACGATCTTTCTCCATGCTCAAAATAGGACGCGGAGAAGACGCTGTCCGCTGTTGCAATCTCTCCAGGTGTTGTTGTTGCTGTAAGGTCAGATTCTGGGGATGAACCATCTGAGGCATTTGTGGGTTTATTTGTCGGGGTATCTGCACAATTACCAATAGTTTAAATCCATGAGTTGCAAACGAAGTTTTCCCAACATTAATTAGTGCAATGCTGGTAGAGCAGAGCCAATGTATTGAGCCCTTCCTAAGCTCCAAGGCCTATTTATTTGGAATTCTATAAAACACGCAATATAAAGGTGATAAAATATATGGTACATGGAATCCTGCACAAGTTAGTTTACTTAAATGATTGGGAAGAGAATCAATTTACCTTTTGCTAAAAATACTAAGTAGTTTAATATGATTACAGGATTTGGAGCTTTTATCTGACCACACAATCATCTTATACAGATTTTTTCTACCTTATTACCCTTTTCTTTTTTCTAAGGAGGAGGAGGTTCAAATTTGACTGTGATACTCATGGACAAGGTAAAATAGAATATTTCTTTGGTATCCATGTACTTGGCAATGGACACAACAAGGCATTTCCAAGCAACTAGCAGGTGTACCTCACAGAATACAAATGTAAACAAGCATACCTGTTGGGGGAGCTGAAGTGTATTCTGCTGTGGCGATGGAAGCTGAGACTGCATGCCCTGTACTTGCTGTGGAGTTTGCTGTGCAACGTTCCTAGTATCCTTCACGTATTCGGCCAAACTGCCAAGGTTACTGCAGGATAAAAGGCAAATAGCATTTACATGTATACCAATATGCAAAGGTCATGCGACAGAGCAGAAATAATCTTTACAGGAAAATTCATAAAATCAACATATGTTTGGATAATGACACGAAATCACAACATCTATCAGCAATCAACAAAATGAGATAGAGAATGGATCCTGAAATACAGTGCCAGGAGGTATACTCAAGTCCAGGAAAAGGAGAGAGAGAGAGAGAGTCAGAGAGATAACAAGAATCATATTTAAAACATGTACAATATATTTTCAGCACAATATTTCCCATGCTCACCTATTTCCTGTTACGTGGAGGAACATTTTAAGCAGTTCCATTGCTGAACACTGCTTTTTGTAGCTATCGGCAAGGACTTTCAATATGCTACCTAATTTAGAAATATGGCAGCTGAGAAACTGGGATAAGACCCGAACCGGAATTTCAGAGGCACCTTCAAATCCCGCCTTTGTTAGGACACGGGCAACCGCCCTCTTAGATATCTGCATTGCTTGTTCATGACCCAACTGTCTTCTGCTGCCATCCGAACGAACTTTTGTACGGGCTTGACCAGACCCCTGTTCTAGATACTCAGGCCTGATACCAAGCCTTTCAAGCATAATAGAACTCTTGGTTGTCACTTGAGGCAATTTATCAAGAACACCAAAAAATTCCACTTTCTGCTTATCATCACTTGATGTACTAGGTGCAACTGCACTATCTGGTATGCAATTCATCATAAACATCGTTTCTGGAAAGAAAATAGTGCTGTCACTACCAGACATATCTTCATCCAAAATTGCATTAGGTTGCATTCTATTCTCAGAATTTTCGAATCCTCTGCTTTCATCCTCCTTGAACACTATTCTCCTCCTCTTATGCCTTTCCGTAAATTTCAGGTAATTAGACATTTCACTGGGATTACGTCTCTCAAGTTCTTGATTCGGAAATGATAGAGTGTATGGCTTGCTCATCCTGTAATTCTCAATAAATTGATGATACCAAGTGTCCGGAAAATCTTCCTGTCTGAATCTCTGGGGTTGAACCTACACAGATCACAGTAAAGAGTACTTACATACGTCAATGAAAGAGTGATCACCCCTATTAAACTGACCATTGTAAGCTCAACTTGAATTGCTTCATAAAAAATGTATTAACCTTGTCACTGGATATGGCATGCTACAAAACTAAAAACCCTAGGAATGGAAGACTTCAAAAATTCTATGAATTTGTTATCGCGATTCGCAAGAACGGAACAAAAGAAAATGCAAAACTTTTCACCCTAAAAGGATATTAGCAGCCACAGAGAAAGATGCAAACTTTTACCCCTAAAAGGAAATTAGCAGCCACATTTATATAATTCCAACAAAACCCCCAAATCATATCTCATATACACATGAATTTATTAAAATCAATATAAACCCTAGTCAATTCATACAAATTAATCAAAGAATTATCAGCATTATTACTTGAAACCCTAAACATATACAAATTCACTAAAACTATTGTTTAATCACAATCAAATCCAGTTCAGCTGATCAACAATTCCAATTCGAAGAAATCAATCTGAACAAATAACACAAACCTTAGAATCTCGCTGAGGAACACCATCCTCCAGGGTGAAATAAACATCATCAGCATGCAATTGCAAATCTTCCATAAATTAAAAAAAAAATCAAAAATCAACTCCAATTCAATCAAACAAATTAGGTCAAAATTGGGGGGATTAAATAAAAACTTACAATTGGGATTGAGAAGAGAAACAAGAGAAGACGAAGAAGAAGAAGGAAGAGAAACATTGGAAGGAAGGAAGAGAGAGAAAGCGGCTTTATCAAAGAGAAGAGCGCGAACACGAAGCTGAAGTTGGATGTGAGACCTAGACTTGGACTTAGAGTCATCGGAAGCCATGAAAGCATCCCAAGAAGAAGGAGAAGAGAGAAAGTGGATGAAAGTTGAGTAGAGTGAATCGCCAAGCCATGTCCGCCATATCCCGGAGCTTTCAAGCTTTCTTGCTAGATCGTAGCCTTTTCCATCGTCGCCCAGAATTGACATTCTCTCTCTTCTTTCTTCTTTCTTCTTTCTCCTTTCTTCTTCTCTTTGTCTTCTGATTTAGTTATTGTTCACTGGTTACAGCTTACAAAGACTACAGTCAATGGAGAGCGGAGAAAATCAGAATTTGTTGAAAGTTATTTTTTATTTTGAAAAATTGGTTCTTATAACCCCACATTTAGTCAGTTTACTATTATTTAATAATCCCACTTTTACAGTGGATTTTCATCTATTGGTCCCTTATAACCGATAACCTGTACATTGGGTAAACTTTTTTTTTTAATTTAAGTGACACGTGACAGTAGATAATTGGTCAAAAAAAAACCTTTTTTTTTTTATCCCCAACGACCACCTAACCCCCCAACCTCCGGCAGCCCCTCCTCGGCTCCTCCTCATCTCCACCGTCGGAACTCCCATTTCTACCGCCGGAACACCTATTTCCACCCCCTCCCAACAGCAACCGACCCAGCTCCCCCTAAAACCACCCTGATTTTCAATAAAAAAAAATTTTAAAAAAAAAATCCTTCAAGAGCGGTTAGAGGGGGTTTTCGGTGGAGTTTCGGGGGTGTATGGCGGTTTTCGGTGGAGTATTGGGGGGTTTATAGTGGTTTTCAGTGGAGTTTCGGGGGTATGTAGTTGTGGTGGTTTCGAGTGTGGGTTTGGGTCAGGGGTTGATTTCGGTGGTGGATTTGATAGGTGGGATGGTTTTTGATTCCATTTTTTATTTTTCAACCAATTACAAAACGACATGTGGCATTTTAACCTATCAAAACCGGTTACCAATAAGTTAGGGACCAATAGAAGAAGATCCCCTATAAAGGTGGGATATTAAATAATAATCCAAAGGTAGGATTATTAACAGCGAACCGTCTAAAGGTGGGATTATTAGAATCAATTTTTCCTTTTTTGTTTTTGGGAAGCAAAATTTGTGTTAATCACTCCATGACATAATCACAATTGATTTTGTAAGGTTATGGACTTATAGGTGTCAAAAAATGACTCGACCTGAAATCGACCCAAAAAAAAAAAAAAAAAAACTAATTCAGATTTTGACTTGTTTGAACACAATTACTTAGCATGACTAAAATTTAAAATAAGTCTGATTCGACCCAACCTGACCCAAACACTCAAATTGACACCTCTAGTTATCGCCGAATATAAAGTAGGACTTAGGAGTAAAATTAAATATAATGTGAACACCTAATACAAAGAAAATCTTATCTCAAGCCTATTTATACAATTTATACTAAAATAATACTTTCTCAATTTCAAGAAAAAAAAAAAAAAAAAAAAAAAAAAAAAAAAAAAAAAAAAACCTATAACACTTTGACTAGAAATGTGAGAACTTTTATGATCAAAGTGATGCAATTTTTATAAAAATGGAGGAAATATTTGATATTCAAACATTATAGTTATCCCCAAAGCAAGTTAGTTTAGTTACTCATAATTAGCTAAAAGTTACTTCTAATTGGCTAACAATTATCCTATAATCGTTCGATTTAGACGAAAAAATAAATTTTTTTAATAATTGGTTGCAAATTAGAAATGTAATGAAAAACAATTAGGAGCATTATGAGTTATTCATTGAATTCTTATTAATTTAAGCTCTGTTTGGCAAAATTAGCGGTAGCGAGCCTGGCGACGAACTTATGGTGATCAAATTAGTGAGTAATTATCAATTAGTAGTGGTTGAAGACCTTGATATTATGTATCAAAGTAACAATTGAGTAGACCTGATCAAAGGTGGCCCAGCCTGACTCGAATTTTTTACAAAAATTTGGGTTTTGGAAAGCTCAAAATTACATATTTAGTTAAAAATTAGGCTCGAACTGGTTTGGAAAGCCCGCTATATTAGCCCAAAATAGCAGGTTCGGGCATGATTTTTTCGGCTCAAAATAGGGCCATTTTTTTGCCAAAGTCCAGCCCGACGAGGCCCAACCCATGATCGCCTCTACATTTTTAGAGTAGGAGTGTTTGTCAAAATTAGCAGTTGAAATACTAAAATACTGTAAAATCCATATTATTTAGAAAGTAACCAAAATTTGACAAATGTTATTTGCTACTTATGAAACACTATTAATTTTAACGTGTGAGAAAAACTATCCAAATGCTATCTTTACTACTAATTACTACTTGAACCATTACCTGACCAAATACTTTAACCTTTTTCTATTAGTGTTCAATGCTAACCATTACCTCAAATACTATTACCCGACAAAGCCTTACTTTATATTCATGTTATTTATTACTATAAGTTGGATTATGATAATATAGACAATAACAATGGATAGAGTAATTCTATACATGTATATAGAAGTAATACTTTTAAAGAGAACACTTTTTAATTAATTGGTTTCTTTAGCTAATGGTATACATATTAATTAGTTCAACAAGTTTTATTGTAATCTGTAAGGAAGAAGTCGATATTCAACATTATTTAATGGTTACTTGGATTTTTGGTTGAAATGCTACTTTTGTATATTAGATTAAAACGGAATTAACATGCACATCAAACTTGTTGCACAATTATCATACTTTAATTAATTTATCAAGCTAATTAATTTTACCTTAAATTAATTAGATCTATAGAACTTAATTAATTCATTTATTTTTATGAGAGAGAAAACTTAAATTAATTAGGTCATTATGTTATTTACCTTGTACCTAAAATATTAATCACCTTCAACACTTACTACTATGTAACTACGACAATTTGAGATCCACTTATTATTTTCATAAAAAAAACTTATTTATATCACAATAATAAACACTTAACATACAAAACATCTAGCAAAATTTAGCTCCCTTAGCTTAGGGTTCGAATCTTACCAAGCATGGATGCTTAAATTAGACATAGAGATTCCCTTAACTTTCAAGTACCTGGCCCACATATAAAACCACGAGACACGTCCGCACGTGAAGATTGTAGTTTGATCAGATTCTTTAAATAACCGATCAATATAATCTGATAGCATCTCTCTTTCCTTCTATATGGATACAATTTATAATACTAAAAGAATTTTTCGAAGATTATTCAATGGCATGCATATGAAGTTGTGTAAGCTTGATGAAAGCAAAAATGATACTTGCTTACTATAGTGGTTAATTCACACTTCTTATAGACACAATTGTTAAAGTACGTACAACTTATATATACTTGCAAGCAAAGTAGCCAATTCAAGTAGATATTTCTCAAGGTATTTCTTATTTGATACTATCCCACAATATAAGGGATACTAGTTACCATCTTAAGCCTCGTTAACATTATTCATTAATTGGTGAAAAACAGATGACCAGAGCTGATTTTCTATCTTCATCCACAACCTAAACCAACCCACTAATCACTTAATTAATTAAACCCCCCTCTAATTAATCTAACCCACCTTTTTCATCATTGTCTGAGTTTATAAAAATCATAATATATATCTCTCTAAACACACGCATGGATTAGTTGCCCCACCATGGTTTGGATCACCCAAAATATTTGGTCAAATGGATGTTGTAACAATATAAAAAAAATAAATTAAATTAAAGTAAATCAAATTGTTATAATTTTTTAATTATATTAAATTAGATAGTGGAAAGTAAAGTTGCAAGATATTGTCACTTATTGTTGACTATTTTGTCTTGAAATTAATTATGAGGATAATTGTAGTTTTGAGAGGCGTTAATTCAGTTATACTCACTTCTCTATATGAAGTGACTTGAGTGAAGTTGGTGTTCTTGGTTTCAACCCTTGGGAAAATCTATATCTTTGCAAAAATTAATAACAAATCAATGGCAATTTTAACGGGATTAGTTCACCTACTTTTTGGGTTCAACAAGTTCATGTCATACTCATAAGTCATAATCCTTTAGTGGTAAAGATATGAAGTAGGAATATGTGCTTTTGTACCTTCTAAAGTTCAACTAATTCAACATGGCTTTACCAATTCTTTTCCTCTTTCTATTGACGGAAAATAGAGTAATGTACTAATAAAGTTGTTATTAGAGTCTAACTATACAGAAAATATACAGAGTGATTAATCGTTGATCATATTGATAATACTTACACAAGTAGTCACTTGATAATCATCGAGGATGATTTTCAATTCTAGTTGTTATGAGATAAGTAGTCTATTTAATTTGGGGAAAACTACATATAAAATTGTCTCGACAATTCAAGCATGTGAATGATTCCATTTTATTATGTACTCCATACAATATTTGATTGTAAAGACTATAATGCATCACTTTTTACTTTTATTACCGATAAGTTATAATAACTCACAATAAGTTATTCTAAGTTCGTCTCATCTAAGTCTTTTTTTCCCTAATAATATATCACTATATCATCATGGTACCAACTATTTTGTACTTTGTATTAGATTGATGATTTGCAACTCATTAAGATACTATAATTTATTTTAAAAAATGACCCAAAACATTATTACGAGTGTCTTATATATGATGCAACTAGGTGTCTCTATGATGCAAGTACTCAATGTTGTCAAATATGTGTTATACATTCTTGTGAGCATGACATGTGCTTCTATGCGAGTTACACTAGCAAATACAATAATTATGAGTTAGGCCTAAATCAAAATTGATCATATTTTAGGAAGCTCTAGTTCTTGAACGTATAACTAGTACTACAGTAAAAGATTAAAAGGTTCTTGAACACCAAAACAACACGTAGACTATAATGGAACACACTTCCCTCTTAAATTTTCTGTTGTATTAGATTCTATAATAAATCGTACTTTTTGTAAGGCATGAAAATATCAAAAGATGAGTCCAAAGTTATGCAGGCTCCAATCCAAAAAAGGGGTCTCCACAATTTCCCTAGAATTGTCCTTTATAATGGCTTTAATAGTGTGTACATCAGTTAGTTGAACGTTAATTGCCGTCTTTAGCTTTTGCGCAGCGTTGGTTGCGGCTGAATTTACGACCATATAAAGGCGCAATATCCATCGATCTCATTAGCATGCCATGCTAGGTATATTACAAACAAAACTCCATATTTTATTCACGACTGAAGATCTATGTTGCTCGGACTCGAGTATCCATGTTCGACATGGGTACGTATTTAAGTATCCGACTCGACTATTTTGTAAAAAAATTATATGATTTTAAACTATAATGAAGTGTCCAAATGTCATACCCATATCTGAGTGTCGAGAGTCCGACACGGATATTTGAGATAAAATGAAGAATCCAAGTATCATAGATAAAGATTGACATTAGTATTAGAGATATCAAGAGATACACTATGTTTTGGTATCTTGATTATTATAATATATCATTTTTTATTACGCCAAATGATTTTTGATATCATTCTTTGTAATTGTTAATGTGTACCTCAATGATTTTATGTACAACTTAGTGATTATATAGATTGAATATGTTAGGAAGACTTTTGATGACTACATAAGAATTGTAGCTATAGTATATTTTACCATAAGCGGATATAAATGTTATTTAGTTTATTGAGTTTTTTATCTGGAATCTCGTTTACATCATTGTCATTTGTAGCTATTTCAACACCACAAAAAATATGGAATAATATCACATTTGTTCCTTAATGATTGTTATGATCAGGGTAAAAATAAAATCCAATGAAGGTGTATAGAAAGATAACATAGGATGCAAAATGCATTCTTTACTATTTATGCGCGGGGTTAGATAAGATAGACCAGTATAAATGAGATTTATGTAAGAAAAATTAATAATGATAATAAAAATAAAAATAAAAAAAAAGATTGGGTGTCATGTTTTATCAAGCAAACATACTATACAAGAAAATATAATACTATACCAAACACATGAAATAAGAAGTACCAAATCTTATTTAGTGAACCTTAAAAGAGGAAAAATTAGTAATTCCTAACCCATAACATGGAAAAACATAAATATAAATGAGTGTATATATAGCAAAACTTATTCCAAATCATCATAAGCTAAACTACTTTCCCTCCCTTCCCCTGTTATTCCCCAGAATAACCACCCTTACAAGATATACCCTTTTCTCTTGCATCATTTTCCCTTCCTTTTTTTTTTTTTCTTGATCTCTTTCTCCTCCTATTTTCTTCTTCTTCTTCAATCTTCCTCTTCCTAGGCCTCCCAAATAAACCCAGAAAATTATATGAATGTAATTTAAGGAAGCCTCCATTTCTAAGTGCTCTCTTTGCATTCTGTTATAACCATTGCAGATTAGAGAGCTCTTAGAATTTCGATACCGGAACCCATAAATCTTCCCCATAATGACCGTCTCAGGTAAGAAAGTTCCCATCTTTTGTGTATAAGATTATCCATTTTCAATTTTACCAATCATATAATCAAAATCTAGCATGTTTATACATGTATTGCATAATAAAATTTTGTCCTGAGAAACAGGGGTGCTCTGTTTTCTTACGTCTGATACATTTATTTGTTTTTTTTTTTTTTTTTTTTTCTTATGTTGTGATTTACAGCGGATGAAATTCATAAAACCCAACAAAACCCAGAAACAGAATTAGAAGATGCATTCAAAAATCTGGGAATCAAAACAAGCGAAGCATCTCCAAGAGGAGTGCTGGATATTCCAATTTCAGATGGTTCCTCTGTTTCTGACAGCCCAAAAAGCAGCAGTAGCAGTAGCAGCAGCAGCAGTTGCAGTCCCTCAGAAAAACCTTCTTCCCCTCAGAAGGCAGACGAAGGCGAAAGCGGAGGCGGAGGAGGAGGAGGAGCTGGAGGCAAAGGAGGAGGAGCAACATTATTCAATCCATTGACTTATGGGATTCAATTTAAGGGATTTTTTGACATAATGAAGAGGAAATCTGGGGTTAGAAGATTATCCACTACTACTATAAATTTGCTTAGTAACTATGATCTCTCCGCGAAGAGCTTGCGCAAGAAATTGGCTAGGATTCGCAGCGCCGAGGATAGTTTCGATTGCGGTCTTCTATCGGCAGCTAAGCCTTCTTGGAGGAACTTTAAGTATTCAGAGCTTGCTGTTGCTACAGACCATTTTAGTCCTGGTATGAAACTAAAAAAACTCTACCTTTAGCAATGTTTACATTTTCTTGATTGAGCAAAGTTTTGGTGTTCTGCTTTTCTTAGCGCAAATTATCTTTATGATTATGTTAACAAGAATCTCATGTTGGTAGATAAACTTTGAAAAAAAGAAAAGAAAAGGAAAATAAGAATAATTTATCATAATTTATTAACATGTATAATTATTTGATTAAGGTTACTTATCAATTAATTTTGTGAGGATGAGGATTGCTTTGTAGAGCATGTTGCCAGACAATTTCTATTGTATACAATTAAGACTATACTCGTGCTTATTTGGGAGAACCCTAAATAAATAAAGAAAAAGAAAACAATTTTGGTTAGTGCATGATACAAGTGGTTGTACACTTACATCAGTTACGTAAACTGAGTATGTTTACGTAATGATGTGCGGCTAATTAGTGGTTCTGGTTTCAGTCCATATAGAGGGGAAGTTGTGACTTGCAGTGTGTTTATGCGCCTAATTAGTGATTTAGGTTGAAATAAGTTATAATTAAGTGCGTAATTTACTTTAACCAACAGACTACGGGACCAAAAACATTAAAGCTGCCTGAAAAGTTGTGAATTTTAGGCCGGCTTCATTGACAGTGGCGTAGGGAAAAGGACTGAAAGCTCGTATTAGTAGAAATTTCAAATTAAGTTATTACCAATAAATTCTTGTATAGTTTGGAGTACAAAAGATGTATGGTTCTATAACTTCATAGGTCTTCGAGTCTAGGGGTTTTATCGAGGAAACTCCATCTCCTAAGCTAAAACTGGTACCTTGGATCGAATGCTCTTACATACCTTAAATGGTGTGTAATTATGGGTTTCTATACATTACTCATTTATAAGGCTTATATGTGGTAGTGCGCGAGTGGTGAGTGATGATTGGCCTTGTGTAGGGAAATCAAGGCTAACCCTAGTAGGTTGGCAATGCCTAGTACGTAAGTACGATCCTGTCGGCAAATTGGACCGCTTCTAATGGATATTTTGGCCAACCTAGGCATACACTCGTACACGTACTCATACTTAATGGAGTATTTAAGAGCATATTAGATATTAATGTTTATCAATGCTCATTACCACCTTCATTTGAGGATGGAGAGACACAAAGCATAAGATATTCACATGAAATAACACTTAATGTTGAAATTCTAAAGCTATCTAGAATCCAGAAGTCTCAATGAACCCTTATGTATAATCTTTATTTCATAACAAACATATCAACATTTAATTTGTGATCAAATCTTAATAATATAACAATATAAAATCAAATAATATAAGATCGATATAATTCTATGAAATACACCGTATCATTTTTATCTAACTCGATCTTATAACTTAAGTTTTTTCTATTGTCGATATAACATTTACTCACACAGAGAAAGTATTAAGAGTTATAACTAATCCAACCTCCACCCGATAACAACCACAACAAGTCAAAAAAGAAGGGCCGGAAAACGTTAGTTACACTTGGGCAGGACAGCAAGATATGTGTTTATGGGAGAAATAAGAACTGTACGACAACTTTAGGTAGAGTAAATTTTATACAAACTTAAACTTTAGGTATGTACTTCAATGCATATTAATTTAACATATGATAGTACTGTACAGTGTACATGAATACAATTAATGATCTTTGACATACCAATAAAACAGAATAAATTATGGTTTATTATTTTGCAATGAAGATAGTAGTATAAGCATGCTCTAGCACAGTATTTGTCTTTATGTCAGGGTTGCTTCTGATCCTACGTTTGTCAAAGAAGGAAAAGTTGCAGCATGGTTGTTTAAAGAGGGTGTTAGGTTCTAATTAAGCCTAACTACTGCCTAAAATTTACGAGCATTGATGCCTTTTTGTTTCTTCCCTCTTTTTTTGGTAGTTAGTACTCTGTACCACACTGTATTAAACCGAAGAAGGACAGGGTCACGGTTAATGGGTTGACAATGCTCACGAACCAGAGAGAAAAATGGTGTATTGATTGCAATACGTGTGTGCGATTTTCTCATTATGACTCTGTTTGGTAATTAATTAGCGGTTAGTTGGTTGCTATAAGTTAGTTACGTTAACTGATTTAAGTAGCTGGTTTTATGTTTTAACGAGCTGATTGTAGTAGCTAGTTACATGACATGTTTTATCCAATGAAGCTCCCTTTTTATATATTAGAGGGTTGAGCACAATCTGTTCATTAAATCACTCTTTACCAAACAATCAATAAAAATAAAATCATATTCTACCAAACAAGACCTATCTATTTGACTGGTTTTGTAGGGAAATTTAAAATAGTATGATTGTATGAAACTAAGAGAAAAGTCATACTCGAAACAGCATATGCATATAAGTCCATTATTGATTATTCATGAGCCATGTCAAGTACGGAGTACCCTTTAATCCTTTATAAAGTGTTATTTATGGACCTCATTCTCATGCCAAACATTAAGACTAATTAAAGAGTTATAACAAAAGGTCAACTACCTATCTATTTTAGTTGACCCACAGCGGTCTACTTTTGCTACCTTGTTCTAGGATTAGGTTGCAGCAATTGCTATTTGTTAAAGGTAAAATATGACACATCTCAAGCTCATGTTTAACGTGGCCCTTACATAAGTTACACTGTTACAACCACAAACTATACAAATAAAGATAAGACTTGATCATTAGAAGGTTGGGTCAATCTGCCTTTCAGCCTTACAGGTTTGGTTTGTGCGGATAAGGACAAACATAGGTTGGGTCATATCGTTTTAGTTATTAGGTCATTTTCGCCGTTTGGAACTTTAAGTTATTTTCAAGCTTTGATTGAACCAATACGGCAATATGGGTAGCTCTATGTTACTCAACTTGTTACATTGACAAAAGCTAAGCGACACACAAAACTTTGTTTGATGAGAAACTCATGACATTTTTGGTGATAACTAGGGTCATTTACTCATTCTTCATCAGTCATAATGCTAGATGATTTTTTTATTTTATTGTCATTTCATTTCCTTTAATTATCAAGTCATTTTCGTTTCTTGGATCAAGCAAAGAAAAACCTTTGGTTTGTCTGTGGTTTGAGTTAGATAAATATGGGTAGATTATGTCTTATTATACCAGCAGGGATTAATGTTGTTAAGATGGAGGGCCCATTAGTAAAAATTAAAGACTAAAATAATATGGAGTATATGCTTGTCTACAGAAAAATAGGCTTACCTAACACATAATGCAACTTTGAAGGGATGAGCACAACCTAAAATGGGTGTATAAGGCAGTACTAAGGTGCGCCCAATGACAAATAGTCAGACTAATCCTTATCGGGCTGGCCACTCTAAAACCCTTCCCTTCCTTTCCTCCTCGGCTCCTCCCCACTCGCACCTAACAATATAATTAAGAATGGAGGGACATGTAAATGGTGCTACAACAGTTGTAACACCATATACATGTCCTTAACTGGATCCGTGCTGGCTTTTCTAGGGTCTGTCTAGGTTCGCTACCTAACGTACTGAGGTTCCATCATCACGTTAGGAACATTATGGCTAAAATGGATAGATTAGGAATATGAACACATTATATCAGATTTTTTATCAACAATTTTGAATATGAATTAGATGGAAAAGCTTTCTGAAAAAAAAAATTGTTAACTGAAACTGATTACAGAGCTCAACGATTATAAACATAATTACTGAAGAATGATATTTTTCTAAAACCTTGGCAGGGAGGTTGCTAGGGAAAGGGGGGCATGCAGAAGTGTACAAGGGATGTTTACCTGATGGTACAATTGTAGCTGTTAAGAGGCTTACGAAGAAGGGAGAAACGGAAGATGAAGAGAGAACTGCAGATTTCTTATCAGAGCTTGGAATAATTGCCCATGTAGACCATCCTAATACTGCTAGTCTTGTTGGATTTAGTGTTGAAGGCGGTCTATACTTGGTCCTCCAATTTGCTCCAAACGGCAGTATTGAGTCTTATCTTCAAGGTGCCTTTTGTGTTCATCTTTTTCATCCTCACATATGAAGCAAGACCTGTCAAACAGTTTTACAGACATTACTTTATAAACTAAGTGAGAAATGAAAGTAACTAGAGAAAAACCCCAAAAAATGCAGGATCATTAGGAGGTTTGGATTGGACAACAAGGCTCAAGGTAGCTGTAGGAGTAGCAGAAGGATTGAGTTACCTTCATCACACTTGCCAGAGGCGGATAATTCACCGAGACATCAAAGCCTCAAATATACTACTAGCTGAAGACTATGAGCCATTGGTGACTATCTATCTTCAACAAACAACTATTTTAAAGTGTTTGATTAAAAGCTTTTCATCTTCTTCATGTTTCACCTAACAAATTGAACTTATTTTTTGTGTTCTATTCTTGCTTTTGGCTGAAAATTGGACACAGATATCTGATTTTGGGCTAGCAAAATGGCTTCCTGAAAAATGGCTTCACCATGTGGTGTATCCTATTGAGGGCACATTTGGGTAAGCAAATAGACTCCCTCTAGTTTAAAAAATACTTCGTATAATTTAAGCAAGTGTATTCGTCTTTTAGTTTACTAGATTTAGGCTAATCTACTTCCTCTATTTCTTTCTTTCTTTTTCAGCTATCTGTCTCCAGAGTATTTCATGCATGGGATTGCTGATGAGAAAACAGATGTATTTGCATATGGTGTGGTATTACTAGAAATCATAACAGGTCGCCATGCTGTTGCTGTTGGTTCCAGTCGACAAAGCCTTGTAATGTGGGTATGTATTCAGAATGTTGAAATGCTTAATCTATTAGAAAGGAATGAAGGAAGTTAAGAACACAGATTTTTACTACTTGACTCTACAACAATGTCTAAAATACTTTCAGTGTTAAACCTGAAACCCAATGTGTTGAAGGTTCTGAAAATTCTGTTTTCCCATCAGGCAAAACCTTTCCTTGACTCAAGCAACATGAAGGAAATAGCAGACCCAAATTTGGGGGACAATTATGATACCGAGGAAATGAAACGCATGATGGCAATAGCTTCCATGTGCATTCATCATACACCAAGCAAACGCCCTTTCATGAATGAAGTAAATGCCTTTTCTCCAATACTCATCCTCCCTCAGTGTATTACTACATCCATTATAAAACTAACGACCTTTAATTTTAAATTGTGATCAAGGTTGTAGAACTACTTCAGGGAGAGGGTGGAGCAGAACAGATAAAGGAGAAGTCGAATTCCCAAAGATCAATTATGTTGGACGCCTGTGACTTGGAAGATTACACAAGCTCTAACTACCTCCAGGATCTCAATCGCCATAAGGAACTAGTCATGGAGTGATGTGTCCCTCAAGCTGCCTCCTTTTGTCTTTGGTTATCCCTCGATTTTTCTATTTGTATGGGATGACATTGATGCTGCAAACAATTTGCTTGGCATCTAGGCTATATAGCTTTCCTTCCTAGGATGTTGAGTGTAAAGATAAGTAATATCAACAATTGTGAAGAGTAGAGATTATAAGTCTACTGTTATCATCAAGTAGAAAAGTTCAAGGTCTTACTTCCTCACTCGAGGAAAAACAAATATTGTATTGGTTAGCTTGGGGAATCAAATGCTCTGTACAGTTCAATAGGTTTTCGAGTTTTTGTTCTGAAGTTGGACTTCTCCTTTCTATGTCCAGAAACAAACATGACTTAACTTGCAAACCATAGAAACCATAGAAACCAAAGAAGATTGATTAAAACCTTAATAAGAAATTCAACAAGTTTACTAGAGTTGGCAATTCTAATGGCAAAAGGTCTAAATAGCTCAATGATTCGAAATTTGATCTCAACTCTTGGAAACTTTTGTGAAAATCAAATTCATTTCGCCAAGGCACGTATGAAATCCTCAAATAAAAATTATCTAAATCCCAAATTCCCAATAACAATATCTTTGTATGAAGTATAAGTGCTCAACTTTTGGATCTCACACAAGTTTAATCAACTTGAATTGGGCTAGCAAGAGACTTATTATTATGATCGAATGGTCCTTAATAGCATGTAGTATCTAAAGTACAAAGTTCTTGGTTATTTTTTCTTTTAAACAGTATTAAGAGACGATTAAATTAACATTACTTCTTAAACAGAATATGTTGCGATTTATTAAATGATAAAACTTTTCCCAAATGTGGGATATACTTATAGTTTACACTCGATGTAAACTAAGAAAGCCATGAAATCCAGCATGTATAAAATCACAAATCACAACGATGCACCACAAAAAGTGAATAATTAAACAATAACATACCTGAACACTCACAAATCAGACGCAACCAAATTGATTTTTTCCAAAACCCAAAAATGCAAATCATATCATCGGAAACAGCGATTCAGCTAGCTATTCTAGCTCTAACCTTAGCAATCTTCTACGTCATCTACAAACTTCCGAAAAAAGCCTTCTCGAAGCTTCGATCCAACAACCGCGCCGCCTCCCAATCAAGCCGCCACTTCCTAACCGGCGCTCAACTCCTCAGCCGCGCTAGATCAGCTCGCCACCGCGCCACAGCCGAATCCTTAGCCAAAGACGCAATCGCAGAAGCTGACCGCGCAATTTCTCTCCTCCCGCGTGACGCCGCCGCGCTGATTCTTCGAGCCTTGGCGCTCGACGTCCTCGGCCGCCGTACGTCGGCGCTCCGATCACTCGACGCCGCGCTCTCGCCGCCGGCGGTGAAATCACTGTTAGGGAGAGAGAAAGGAGATGCACTGGTGAAGCGAGCCGAGTTACAGTTGGCGGTGAATCGGCGGAGAAGAGTTGACTCGGCCTTATCGGACCTTGTTGAAGCGGTGAGTCTGACTCAGGATAATCCAAAGGGGTTTTGTTTATTGGGCCAGTGTTATGAGATTAAAGGGATGAAAGATGAGGCTCGTGAGGCCTTTCGCGAGGCCCTAAAGATTGAGCCCGAGTCCACTCTGGCCCGTGAAGGTTTGGGCCGATTGAATTCATCGACATGATCCAGTTGTTATCTATCAATGTTACGTTGGCCTTGTTGTTGTAATTTATTTTGTTAAATTTTCTAAGAAATGCTATGTACTCTGTATGTTATTCAGCTCATTTTTGTCTTATAACCATTTCTTGTTTCTTTTGATAACTGGACTAGAATTCTACGGAGTAGAAAGCAACGTAGTGTGATGTAAAGGAGATTTAATCCGTGATATTGATATTTCCTTAGAACCTTATTTGCACATTTGTTTCCCCTCTTTGTTTAAAGAGCTTGATTTAGGATGAGTTAAAAATTGAAATTTGAAATTTAATACAGTTACTCAATTAGAAAATTAGGCCCTTGATTTGCTTAAAATACTTATCGGACTTGCAATTTATTGATGTGGCTATCGGAATTAAGAGAAGGCGGTTCATTGATTATAGTCGTGTTATATGAATAATGAGCCTTTGAGGTGTGCAAGCAGATAGTAATGGTAAAGCATATTGTCATGTATGAGCCTTTGAGGTGTGCGAGTGAAGACAGTAATGGTGAATATATAGTTCGTATAAGCCTTTGAGGTGTGCGAGTGAAGACAGTAATGGTGAAAAATATATGTAATGTGCCATAAGAATGACTCGAAAAAAAATAAACCTTTTCCTTTTTTCTTTTTCTGGACGACATTTCTGCAAGACCTATTTCATCAATCTCGCGATGCAGCTATTGAAAATAAAGCTAACTATACATGCACAAAATTTCCAGTATTTGCCTCTAATTTCTACCAACTTTCAAAATGAAACCCCAGAGTTCTATAACATCAGCCTTGTCAAAGGTTAATCACTAGTCACTACACTAGGAGGCTAAATGGGTCAGATTCTAAGATCAAAAGACAATGTTGGGTCAGCTGAGAATGAACGATAGGGAAAACCTGTTAATAATAAGAGACATCTCTGGGATTCAAAATTAGCTTTTTCTTTGATCAATAGCACTAATTTAAGCTGAACTAATACCTAAAACCTTCTAAACTCTCAACCCCCGTTAGTAGATCACCTATTCACCTTGTTAATATGATTGATGAGGCCATATGTAAAACTCTGCAGGCGTCTGTGGCATCAGCGACATCATTGGAGCTACCGAAGAAATCCCCATACCCGAACCATAAGCCTCAGGAGAAGCAACTGCCTGGTGGGATCCACCATTTGAATTCAGGTGATGAAACAGGTTCTGGTGGAAGATGGCTGTTGCGGCATCATATGGCACAGCACATGAAATGGGAGGAACAGATTGGATGGCAGCAAAGTTAATGGTGCTGCTTGTACCACCGCTACTCCCATTGCTTGAACGCGATTGTTGGTTTAGGCTGAGTGTTGGTTTCTGATCAGCTGCCTCTGTAGCAAGCTTCAAGCGCTTGGCAGCCCCACCGATAGGAAGGTTGCTTTTAAGGATAGCCTCAACATCATAGCGATTCATCTCGAAGTTGGTGACTGCATTTACACCCCTGAATTTGATGGCTGCTATGTCATAGGCCTCGGCTGCTTCCTCTTCAGTTGCTGTCAATAATATCACAATTAGGGATTTAGATTCTTCAATAAGTTAAGGGAGATTAAAAAGAGTATGGCACGCAAAAGGGATGGTAACTTACCAAATGTTCCAAGATACAAATCTTTGTTGCCAGCAACACGGCCTATCCTAGCTTGCCATCTCCCTTGCTGATGATGCCTGCATATCAAAGACCATTTATATATTTTGTCAAGTAGCTGAGAACATAGCAAGCATAATGTTACATAACGCAGAAATACATTACTAGTGAATGTACCTTGTGACACCCCGATAAATAGATGCACCCCTAGAGAAACCACTACTTTTCCTACAAAAATTTAAACAATAAAACCACGTCAGGAATGCTAATTGTATAATCAACATCGAAATCAACAACAAAAGATGGTTAGAGACCAACCTTCTGAGTGAAGCAATGAATTCTTGCTTAGTCACATGTTTCATATCCTCTAATTCTGTAGAATAATTAGATATCTACATAAACACGAGAAATTACATCAGTAATCAGAATTTTTGACAAGTTCGAGTAACTTTTTAGTTAAGTATAATTAGTATAGCTTGAATTCAAATTGCAAATTACCGGGAAGTTGGTGGTGGCAGTGGGGCCCCAGTACTTAAGAGCTGCCAAGTCGTATGACCTAGCTGCCTTTTCTTCTTTATCATACCCACCTGGACCATAATGCACAAAATTTTCTATCAGTTTGCTTATCTTATTAACATGCTCTGCCATTTTTCAAAACTTCATCAAATAATCTGGAATGAAGCAGTCAATGATAACACACTGATATAATAACTCACCTAAATAGACTGCAATATATGGAAAGCCGATCATCAAAAGTTCCGCGAACCATGTCAAATAAAGGAAAACAGAGTGTTAACATCTAAATAAACTTTTGTAGCAACCACACATACAATCCAGACAATAGAAAAGTTTAAGCAGCTAACTCAGAAGTCATACTCATAATAATACAGATAAATTGCAACAATTACATTTCCATCCATAAAATAATTGCACCGTTTCTATTATATTAAGCAGTGCAACAGGAACTAAGTCAACTAACTACAAATTCGCGGCACGTATAACCAACTTTGTCATACTGTCTCAAACACCACAGACCAAGTTCAGCAAAAAATGAAATCAGCAACAAATTATTTAACCACCCCACCAAAGTATTAACAAGTAAATTATAGTAAACAGTGTATAAACTACAGAAAAGTTGCGGCCTAAATTGAGGGCTAGTGTTTTTTTAGTGCAGGACAAATTGGTGGCTTGGTCAAACCTACACATTGGACTGCCTCAATCCAAACGGTGCATGAGAATAATAAAGTGAGGGAAAAAATTTAATAAAGCAAAGAAGTGGAGGGAAGGTAAGGAGGGTGAAATTTTAGCAGTTTGTGTTCAGACTTTGGTGTAAGAAAGTGAATGACAAAAAGCGCCACGGCTAGGCTGGCCTTGTAAAAACTTTTGCCACCACAACTGTTTTTTTTGCTTCTCTTTTTTTTACATGTGGAACCACTCTTCGGTCCCATCGCAATCGAGTCACAAAATTTTGAAACTTTAGATTACAACGAAATCAGTATCACACTAACATATCTCAGATTCTCAGTTACTGTGAAACTAATTTTAGCCCTTAAACCAAATTTGGAGGTCCTTTTCATTTTCTTTAAATGTATAAAGATACATTCCTCCTTCAATCGATAATCAATACATTAATTTTACCAAAATACCCTTTTACATAAGTCCGGAATTCACACCCTCATCACCACGCTCAATAACGTTAGCACATCTGAAATATCCGACCACAAACCATTGCAAGTTTTACACAGAGGGAATACACTATACAAGTTACGGGTTTTATCAGTAACTCACCAAGTAACAGGTTTTTACGTGGTACAAGTAGTACACAAGAGTCATTGTATTGCAAAATGGTACACAATAACACAAGCAACATGTACATAAAATGTAGCAGCTGGCACGTATACAACTTTAGGTTACAACTTTTACTTTCGGCCTGACCAAAACACCACCAAAGCAAAATACCCAAAATAAAGGGAAAAAAAATTTAAAAAAAATAAAAAGAGGAGAGAGAAATAAAAGAAAAACAAGAGGATAGAGAAGACAGAAATGAAAGAAAGCAAGACCCAGATGAAAGCAGAGAGTAGCAAAATGGCGGCATATTTCCGACTGACGAGTTACACAGTGAAATGAAAGCAAGGACTCAGACTCAGACTGTGTAGCAGTACTAGTAGTAATACTAGATTACTAGTACAATACTCATATACACACCTACGCTACCACTTACATCAAATCAATCATAATTTTCTACTGTTATTTAAATAAAGGCTTTAACCTTTAGTTTTTTTTTTTCATTTTTAGATCCCTTCTCACTAGATTCTACTACAGTACTAATTAAATTAGTCATTCATTTAGATTTTGAATTTGTACTCCACATTCAATTTTTAATCTCTTGTTATTATTGCATGCATCTTTATGTTCAATCACTTGATAATCAATTTAATTCAAATTTGCATGCATCTACTCCCTCCGTCAAATGTTATTATTTTGTCACCTCAAAATACCAATGTAATAACGTATTCCGTAATAATTAGTATGCATTATTGGTCAGCTTTGAATACTGTTACAATAATTAACTTGTGCTTAATCCATGAGCATAACCTTTAAAGCCAATTATATACCAGTAAAACGAAATAATTACTAATTTGTCCCTATTATTTGACCACTTAACAGATGTAGTTCATTCCTTATTACCCATCATCTAGATAATTAATGCACTATTATTTGCTAATGTAAAATATTAATGCACTATTACGAGCAAGTTTTGGAAAAAATAAACACTAAACATCACTCCAATACTCCGTAAACCTTGACACGGTCTATAGGAAAAATAGATACTTACTCCGTTCTTTTTTACTAGAACCTCTTTGACTTTTACAATATTCACTACCCCTCCTTTGACTGTCTTTTGTGAATAATATGTAAGGAAAAATATATTCATGTGGTATTTTTTTGAATTCGTCTCGATAAGTACTATCATAATATATAACTTTTACTTATGAAAAATTAAAGTTATTGATCGTTAAAGTTTTGCATTGACAAGCGTGATAAAAGAAACAGGTCAAGTAAAAAAAAAGAAACAGAGGAAGTACAAAATACTCCACATATTTAATCAGCGACATCAAAGGCTAGTAGTTTAATAAATTAATACATAAACCAATAATAATTACTTTGTACTTGACTACTTGAAGAAAGATTAAAATAATAATAATAAGATTAATGAAATGAACTGAGGTTAATTACCTTGACGCCCTTTTCTTGCTTGCCCTTCTCTTCTACAGCTGTTATCCCATAGATGTGCTTCATATCTTCCAGTCCATCTATGCCTATTATTTTTTAAAATAATAATAATTAAAAAAAAATTACCATTTGCAATTTAAACATGAAATTAAAAATTTAAAATTTAATAATATGAAGAAAAAAAAGGTTAATTACCTAGTAACACCTCTGTAAATGGAGGTCCTTTGACCAAAAGTATCAGAAATCTTTTTAATACTATTATCAGAATCAGCAGCAACAGCAACAATTGATTTTTCTGTATTTTGCGGAACTACAGAAAGCGACAAATTCCCACCATTGTTGCTATTACTACTATTGTTATTAAGATTATTATTAGTAGTAGTAGTAGCAGCAGCAAAACTCGGAACCAAGTCGGTGTGAGTGGACTCAATAGAATGACCGAGAAACTCCGCCCCAAGATGAGTCGCAGCAGAGTCATCGACTTCAGAACCCGAGTTACCAGAAAATGCACCTTGGTACCCGCCTGAAGAAGCCATGGCTTTCAGATCCTGCTGTTGTTGGTGGTGGTGGTGGTGGTGTTGGTTGGTGAAGTAGTCCGCGACCGAGTTTTGTTGTTGGTGGTGGTGGTGGTGTGGCTCGTAGAGGTGAGTCAACTGAGAGGATGAGTCCTGAGTTGTTGACTCGTTTTGGCTGTTGTACAACGCCGTATTGTTGTTGTTGTTATTTTGATGGTGATGATCACCGCCAAAGAAGTCTTCCAGTTTTGGTACTGTGTTGTTGTACGACGCCGTATTGTTGTGTTGTTGGTGGTGGTTGTTGTTATCGTCTATCTGCTGGTCCACCACATAGTCGGTGTACATTCCCATTCCTGCTCCTTTCTGATTCCCCCAATCTGTCCAAAATAAAAACATTATTGTTAAAATCATAATAATAATAATAATAATAATAATAATAATAATAATAATATGAAACGGAGTCAGTAGTAATAATAATATGTACCGGTGGTGTAAAACGGGTCGAGAAAGTAATGATGAGGAGAAGGGGAATTAATAGGAATCTGAGGATTATGAGTTTGATGAGAAGAAGCCAACATTTCCATAGGAGAAAGAGAAAACGATAGCCAGTTGCTATTACTTGCTGCGGCAGCTGGTGCCATTGATTTGATTAACTTAAACTAGATAAACACGAAAAAAGATGTTCAAATTGTTGTTTATAACATTCGCATTCAAAAACCGTTACAGTCAAAGTAATGGGTTTCGAAGACAATAATATATATATATATATATATATATATATATATATATATATATATATATATAAGGCGATGAGTATGTGTGAAACGATATGAACGAAGAGGTACGAACTTAACAATAAATGACGAAAGGGTGGGAGTGAATAAGTGAGTCAGAGGGAAAGGATGAAGGGAGAAGGGTAATTAATGTAACATGCAAGGAATTGAATTAAACACAGCGTTTAAAGGGAGTGATGCATGGAATTAAGGAGAGAAAATGGAGTGTAGTGAGGAGAGAGAAAGAAGGGAAAGAGAGAAAAGGAGAGGGAGATGTGGAGGGTTATAAGGGGGTGAAGGGGCGGTTTGAGCTGCCAACCGGCGTCAGCCCAGAGAGACAGATACACACGCACATACGTTGCATAACCAACATGAGTGAGAGATTATGTATGTGACTCAATTCATTTTCGGGGTTTATTACTTTTATATTATCCCCCTTTGTTTTTTTCATCTTATTTTATCTAAACTTATTTTAATATACCGAGTTTAAACTAATTTAACTTTTTTTAAGTTTATTTAAATTTGTTTTAGTTTGTCTAAATTTATTTTCTTTGAATTTTCTTAACTTATACTTTGTATGTCTTAACTTGATTTATCTAAACTAGTCTGATTTACACCTTAATTTTCGAAACTTTATACATAAAAATTGATCATGCCTTTACAAATACCTTAATTTTGAAACTAACTTTATACATGAAAATTGATCATGCCTTTACAAAAAAAAAAAAAAAAAAAAAAAAAAAAAAAAAACTAACATTTTTCAAACTAAGTGTAGATTTAAGTTTAACTATTATTTTAAAAAAAATTGTGTGAAAAAAGTGTTTTCTAATTTACAAAGGTGTCACTTCAACACATTTTAAAAATGTAAATACAGGATGCTAAACCCAAAATTAGTGTTTTTTTTTATTATTATTTTTTTTTTATGAAAGATTAGTGTTTTTATAAAGGGAAATTAATTGTTCATAGACCCATCACCCTGTTGAAAATAGTAAGTTCCTTTCTACTTTTCATTCCATTATATATGTATTCATATTTTAAGTTTCATTTATGTTATTATGTATGATCAATTTGTTTTTCAAATTTAATAAAATTGTTATTTTTAATTTGCATAAAGGTGATTGTGGGTCAACAGTAAAAATGAAGATTAAAGCGGGCTGCAAATTATGTTTAGGTGAGCCAAAATAATTAATCCATGACATGTAATTAGTTTTTAAAATTAACATGATTATGACATGTATGACTAATTTTTAGATCATGTATCTATTTCACTCTTACATTCGTCCTTTCTCAAATACTTGCAACAATTTAACTTTAATAGAAATTAGAAAAAATAGTAATTGGATATTAAAAAATCATCATTCGCAATAGTAATTTTGACTAGATGTTTTTTCTAAATATATAAAAAAATCATTGTTATTGTGTAATTCATCGTAGGATTAATCTCAATGTATATTAAAAAAAACATTATTTAAATAAGTTCAGCAAAAATAATATCAGTTTAGTAAAAATAATTTCAATTCAGCAAAAATAAGGTGAAGTGAACGAGGCCTTACTCAAATTGTATTATGGGTAGTTAGAAAGGAAAAAAAAAAAAAAAAAGTGAGTGTGTAAATTTTATTAAGGATCAAAGATTTGAGGAGATGTGATTAAAAATGTTAAAACGACTATTTAATTTAATTTAATTTGTGAAGGTAAGTTGGGTTTGGGTTAGATTAAACAAAAGGGGGAGGGAGGAGGTGTGGCTTTTTAGCTAGTGAGGGAGAGAGGGGGGCAGAAGTTTTGTCTTAAACAAACAAGGTCCCGAAAGATCCGGGCTCTGGCGGTAATCGGAGACTTTGTTTGCTTTCTCTTCCCCCTTTACCTTTTTTTTTTTTTTAAAATGTTTTTTTTTTATAATCTAATGGTAATAAGATAAACAATTTGAGGTTAATTAAAGCTTGTTTAGGTGAATATGGTGAATAAATTACTACTTGAAAAATAAACTATACAGGTTATTATCATCAACAATTTTAATTGTATTATTTTATTGTACTTCATATGTGATAACTAGCTAATGAGTGATGAACTGATGATTAGAGATCAAAAATGTTATTGGTGGAATAGTCATTTAATGGGAGAAAAGCTTCATCTTTAAATGATTGTAGATCAAGGAAAAAAAAAAAACAAAACAAAACTTAAAGAACATTAGTATGGAAGTAAATCAATATGTAATAGTATAGATAGTTTTTTGTTTGACTTGACATATATATTATGATAACTACACCGTGAATTATTTTGGCATGTAATTGACACGTGTAAGTGTAATGGATTAATTTGTTTGTTTTCAGAAAAATTATAACAAATTATCAATAATTCATGAACAATTATTCTCTCCATTGTAACCCTAAAAGATAGTTTAGCATCATTTTTAAACTTGGTAAATCGCATAATGGTTATACATATCTCAATGTTCCAAATATTGTTTGCTCATCATCATCGATATCAATTACTCCTTTGATTATATTCGGTTTATGTACAAAATACCATACTACTGTTTTTATTTAAATTATAATGTTCTCAGCATTTTAAAATACTCCGCATTTGTCAAGCTAGAGACAAATACATATCTTAGCTTCTTGCTCTGAGCTACCCTTCCCCTCCTATTAACCTCCTACTAGCTTGTAATACCTTGTTCAAATTCATTCAACTCTATAATTCGAGCAAATAGCAAGTGTAAATTGAACTTCTTAATTAATATACGTCCGATTTTTAATAGAATGAGGTATTTTAATGTGCTTATTTCAGTGTGTTTATTGTTATTAATTGATCAATTTATTGATTATAAAAACTCCATGATTTCTCCTTTTAAGTGAAAATCAAAGCATGCATATTTGCTGAAACAAATACAAGTTTTTTTTTTTTTTTTTTTCACAAGTGAAACTTAGTGCTTCCTATTTGAATATTTTCCATACCTTTATTTGAGTTAAAATGACAAAAAATGAATGTGTCCCGGTGTTTTGGGGATAATTCAACAAAATACACTTGTCTTTCATGCATACCTCTTTATCACCCTTTTGTTGTTAATCTTATCTCCGCAGTTGAGAAAGTGCATGAATAGTCAAGATTCAAAAGAGAAAAAGAAACAAATAAAAGGCAAATTTTAACTGATCAATTTGTTTTGTTGCTTTCTCCTTGCTGTAAACTATCTTCCTATTGGTGTTTTCCATTTCCATTTCCATGCTTCCAAATTTCATGCATTTTATCAGACTCATCATCATAGTCTTCTCATTACTACGGAAATTAATGTAACAACTTATGTATACCTCCATGAACTAATTAAAGAATTAATTACAATAATTAATTAGGATTACATACATTCTTCATTTGGATTTAATAATTACACTTTCAATATACTTACAACTAACCATTATATTTTCCGACACAATATTAAAAGAGAATAGACAAAGTAACTGAATAATGTATAAGTATTATTAGTACAAATTACACTACTTAAATAATTACGTGATTAATAATCTCGAACATAAAGATTAATCAATGAATGAATAAATCTGTTGGTTTTTCTAGTTGTGGAAACTCTTGTCTTATTCACAAAAAAGTAGAAAATTAAATTAGCAGCGAATTTTAGAGACAAAGACTCAACATGGGATGTAGATAAAAATCTTTCAGAAAACTTCATTTTTGTTTATTTAGAAACTAATCACAGTTTTTGTCAGTTTATGTATAATAAAATTGGATCATTTATCATGTACATTTGATATTAATTTGTTACTTGTACTAAATTTCTCGATCTACCGACCTTCACTAGACCTATAGTAATTTAAATTAAAAACGGAAAAAGGACAATTAAAATAAATAATAGAGTTTGTGAACAAATTAACTATTCTAAGCATGGAAGACCAGTCAAAGCAATTAAAAATAGTAAGTAGATTAGCCTTTTGAGTTAACCTTTCTTCCCTTGGCTTTTTTTCGCTTTTTATTTTATCTTTAATTAATTACTTAATACAATAAGTAGATTATTACTGTACTAATAGTAATGTTAGTACTAAATTTCTAAAGTTGTTAATCCATGCGTATCACACTTTTTTTTACCAGCTCTGCAACAGCCTTAAGATGATAATATAGACAAAATAGCTATTTCAAGAGCCAAAATAGTCGATCTTAAGAATACGCGTGTTTTTCAAGAAATTGTAATTTAGAATTAATTTGTAAGAATTTAGATCCATATGCATGTTTCGTCAAATTATATAAGGCATGAATGATACATATATTATTGTAATAAACAAATCATTAAACTGTAATTAGTAGTTCGTTTAGTTAAATGTGAAAAAGAAAGAATGAGAGATAACTAAAGTGGTTTAAACTTTAATTTCCACCCAGTTTAAGAAGATCATGGGATCATATCGAATCTCATCACTCGCCCTTTATGGCTAAAAAAAAAAGTATATGTTAAATGTGAAAAGTACTATATCTGGGATGTTAGTTTGTTCATAAAAATCCATTTTCTATAACTTGCAAAGACTTTTTCGAAGATTTTACTTATGCAATTATGCATAGGATGATAAAGATTAAGTAAATGTTAACAAAAATGAAGATGAGAAAGGAAAAAATAAATAATAAAGTTCGGCAAATATTAACAATTAAGCTCAACAAATTATATATTAAATAAATTTCCGAGAAAGAGAGTCAATTCAAGCAAAAGTTTAACAAAATCAAGTGAATTGCATCGAAAATAATAAGTCAAATTTAGCAAATAGGAAAAAAAAAATTAATAAATTTTGGCAAATATTAATAATAAAGCTCAACAAATTAAAGATTAAATAAATTTTCGAGAAAGAGAGTCAATTCAAGCAAAAAGTTTAGCAAAATCAAGTGAATTGCACCGAAAATAAGTCAAATTTAGCAAATAATATATACGCAGTAATATAAACCAAGATAAACTATATTCTTATTTAATCATTATTTTTTAAATTTAAGTAGGTAGTTACTAAT